ATGATATACACAGTTTCTTTGGGTCTCGGGTGCATTGAAGCTGGAGTGTGTTATGTCCCATGTTGCCCTCTTGTGTGTACTCCAAAAAATGTTCTTGCTATCTAAGCTGTGAGGATTTTCTATTTCAGTCAAAGGCTCTGATTTACAATCTGATTTACAGGATTTTTGACCTAACAGCTAAATTATTTGATCTTTCATCTCTGCTGTTCCTGAAGGGGCAATGGTAGTAAAAGACATTTTAAACAAAATGAAACAAAAACCAAACAGCAACAGAAAACCAACCCACCTTTTCAGTTATAGGAATGTTTATGAGGAGCAAGAGAAAAAGGAGAGAGAGAGGCTGTCCCTCTGCAGGTATATTCTTCTATTTAGAAAAAAGGCATGGTTTATCTAAGTGTCTCTAGCCTTTCTGAAATGTAGGCAAGACTGAGGAAAAGTTGGGAAATTGCAGCAAAGGTCAAGCTGAATTTTAGTAAGAGAACGGAATAAGAATTTTTCTTCTTAATACATGTAGTGTTTCCACAGTACCTTAGCTATCTTCCAGCATGCAATAAGAAGAGAAATGAGTCTTCAGGGTTGGACTTAGATGCTGTCTCCAGAGATCCCTTCCAATCCCTGCAACTCTGATTCTGTGTAATTGGATCCTCATTATCTGCCTAAGTGCTTTGTTCTTCTCCTTTAGCTTTATGGTTGTAGCCTTAAGTCAAATGCTGCTGCTGAAGCATGTATTGCTTTTATATTCACTTGCAAATATGAGCCAGTTTTGATTTGCTAACAACTTAAATTCTAGTGGAGAGGGCTTTGCCATTGCTCATCATTCATGTGTTGTCAGTGAAACCAGAGTGGTAGCTGTTCTGGTCTGCTGCCAGCACTGCCTGTCCTCTGGGGGATTGTTCAGAGACAGCTGAGATATTTGTGATACATTGAGTGGTCTGGGATAGAAAACTAGAAATAAATAGTATTCTTTAGATCCTGTCTGCAGCTGACTCTCAAAGGTATGAAGAATTTTGCTTTGTTCCCACCTCCTGAAGAGCCAGCTATAAAATGTTCTGGCTTACAAATAAAAGCTTAGATAGGCTTAGGTGTGTCCTGGGATCACAAAATCAGATCCACTAAACAGCTCAAGCATGAAACACAGCAAAGAGCGCCTTCTGTGTGCCTGACACTGTGCCATGTCTACAAAAGGCACAAAGAAGCAGCATTCGTACATGAAAGTGTGGTAGTCTGCTCTTTCCTTGTATACAAAAATGGTTTTCTTTCTCCACATTTTTAGAGGCTGACTGATGTATTCCGACGTTATGATACTGATCAGGATGGCTGGATTCAGGTGTCCTACGAGCAGTACCTCTGTATGGTCTTCAGCATTGTATGACATTGACATCAACATCTAAGAATCCCACACTGGCATTACACAAACTGGAGTTGCCAAATCATGTACTGAATAAGATAATTGCTGTATTGTAATGGATATATAATTTCACATCCGTAAATTTTGTACGTAACGTCAGTCATCGCTTTTAGAATCATGTTTGTTTTTGTGTTTTTTGACTCTAAGATCAGCCATATCATGCTTACTGTAGCACAGAAAGCACAGAATCTAGACGTAACTGGTGCCGTGTCTAACTTAACTTTCTTCCACATATCCTGCATGGGGACAAAGGACACTTTAGAAATGCTGAATTAAAATAATGCTTGTTAGTTTGTAAGAGTCAAAACTCCGAAGTTGCACAACATGTTTTGCATGTGCCTTACTTTTATAAGAATATAATGTATTAATTTTTAATACAGAACTTAAAATTAAGTAAAAATGTTAGACCAACATGTACAGTCTACATTTGTACAGTTTTTTGGAGGGTGATGGCTGTGTTCCTGTGTTGCGGGGTGTTTGTTTGACTGTTTTTTTTTGTTTTTTTTATACTTCGTGGTCCCTCCCACTTAACAGGGATGGCCTTTTCTTCTCTCCTTTCTGTCTTTACTTTCTAGCTGCTTCTCTCTTTCAGGGTATTCTTAGGCCATTTTTCAAGATAACTTCTTCACATTAATTGCCAACACTGCATCTTCTTCAGTTAATTCCCTTCAAGTTCTTAAATCCTCTGGATCTATGGTTCCCTCTTAATGTAAATAATCCTTTTTGGGTGAAGCATCCATTCTGCAGTGGCCCTGATGGTCAAGCATTCTCAAAACCTTCCAATCTCAACAATTACAAACAGAAAACAAGCAAAAATATAGTAAAAGCACTTAAGGTTTCTTCTATGCAGTAACTTTCAAGAAGCAACCTCGAGGAAGTAAAAGTTAACAAGCTCGCTAGGATTACTCTGAAAGAAAATCTTAAACCTCCTCTACCCAAAGCTGTTATTCTTCAAGATATATTTACAAAGTTATAGTATCTGGCAGCTGTGGGGCAGAGAAACTAGCACCAGTTGTCCAGTAATGGTGTAACAGATCCTTAGTGACACTGGTAACATTTCTAAACATTTGTATGAACTACCACTGACAAACAGTCACAGCACAGGTTCTCCTAAAGGACTCTGAACACCTAAAAGGTGTCCTTAGCTTCCAAAGGGCACAAAGGGCTAATCCTGTGAGATGCTGGGGGAACAGACAGTGACAATCCGATATCAGAGACCACCTGAAGAGCTTCCCATTGAGATACTCCACTGGAAAGAGCTTCCCACTCCCTTCCTGCAAAGGTGTTTGTCCCCTGTGATAATTCTCCTGACCAATACATCTACAGTCATTCACAGATTCAAGGTTGCAAAGCCAAAACCAAAAAAGCTGGCACGAGAGGAATTTCCCTTGGTTGTGGCCTGTGAAGAAAGTCAAGTCATTCTTTTTCAGCCAGCATCATCATATTTGACTGCTGTAGAACAACTGGAGCCAGCACTTCCTAAGGGAGCTGTACTGGTGTAAAAAAAATCAGTGACCAACTGGAATGCCTCATCTCAGGAGGAGAGCTGCTTCTGAAGGTGGGAAAGCAAGTAACAATAATCTGGCTGAGGAAGTACACAAGCTACCCCTCAAAACACATTCGATCCCAGATTTTTATCAGTGGTGTTTTAAGGAAAATTAAAATTGGTTCAAAAGGCTATGGTACACCTTCAGAAATGTTGCCCTGGTGCCAAAGGGTGTGGTGTGGCTGTACTGCTGCTGAAGGATGGCTAACATTTGCAGTGCGGTCTGCAGCCCATCAATGCCTACCTTGTAAAGCTTGTTTCCCAAAGAAGACCCAGTGCCCAGAGAAACAGGAACACACACAGCACTCATTCTGTTCCAATGCTCTACTACATGGGGGCAAGACAGGGCACAGAGGCTCCTTGGGAGCAAGTAGCCAGAAGATGACTTAAAGAAATTGGCCAACACAGGAAAACAGAAACAGGAGGAAGTCTTCTATCATACTATTGGAGAAGTGACTGAAAGGATGACAGAACTTCCCTCCCCCTCTGTAAGACCACTCATCCTGTGCAAAACAAAAAATAAGAAGGGTGTGTGGAGGAGGAAGGAGCATCTCCTTGGGGAAGAGATCATTCAGTCACTGTATGCCACTGGAATATACAGTACTGACAGTAAAATCCCACAAGGAGTCAAAAGTAGAAAGAAAAACCTCTCTATGGAGACTTCAGCTGAAAAAACCATAACTTTGATTCAGTTTATCTGGGTTACCAGAAACTTACTGCCTCCTTTCCTCCAGGAAGTGTAGTGCAAGTGAAGAAAAAGGAAAGCAGATGTATTCTGATGCATAGTCCAAACAAGAATAGAATTTTAGAGAATCAAGTGTATGTACCCTATCATCAATTGCTTTGTTGCTTTTGTGTTACAAGTTTACGTGACGAGGTCCAAAAGGTTATTTTTTTGTGAATGCAAAAATATATTAGTATAGCTTATGAAGACAAACCTGAGTTCAGCACAAGTATTTAATGTGCAGAGAAAAATACTCCAGCTATGGTTAGAAAGAAAAATGACAGCCCATAACGGAGCAGTGAAAAGGAGAGCAGAATACTGGGAGTAAACAGTCTCAAGCTAGTCCTTTTCTTTAGCCCCACATTAGCTATATATGATATATACAGCAGACATCTAAAGATAAGCACTGGTGAGCTTACAGCTCAGAAGTGCAGAGGGAAGAAATGTAAGTACAGACCACTGGTAAACACAATGAACTGGTGCTCATTTCTGTTAGCGCATCATTTTGATTATTTAGTTTCCCCTATTATTATGTAATAGCCATATGGGTTCTACTATGTCTCAGTAGGCTTTTGTCAGCACAAAGAATGAAGAATTTTTCATTTTAGCATGGATCCATTTATCAACTGAATTTTTAAGTTGATTCACAAGTTTCATTCTCAACAGGATATAAAAGCGCAGATATTGTACGTCTCTGTTCTGCAAAAATAAAATGAAATAATGTCACACTCTCCTCTCCTTTCATTAAACAGAAATGTATTGTATCTATTTCTACAAACATCCCAGCTATAAAGGCTTAAGTTAACTGAACTGACCTGAAATTTGTGTGAAGAGCAGCACATCTGGATTTTCAAACAACAGATCTGTATTTTCAGTGAGTGTTCTTCCCCCCAAAATTAACATAAAAGCAAACTTCTCTTTTTTCTGAGTGGGGAAGATCATTAAAAGGGCGATCAGCTTTTTGCTGACAAAATAACATTAACATATTTTCCAAAAAAAAAAAAAAACCCGGAAGATTTTTCTGCAATACACTAAGATGTAACAAATACATTTAAAAAGCCTAAAAAAAAAAATAGTATTCACCTCCATTATGTGCAAGTTTGTGTTCCAGCTACATATGTTTTAATATGTTAAAAAGATAACACTCTACCTCCCTTTCCCCTTCCAAGAACACACTTAAATGCAGTCTCTTTCCTGCAATCCAAGATATGGAGATTCTTGAGTCTGTTCATCTGCTTCCAGTTCAGCTGTTGTTGTTCCTTAATCTTTTCCTCTAGTTTCTATTAGCACACTGGCTAACATCTGAATATTTAGTTCTAGAAAGGGGAAATTAAAAAAAAAAAAGTTACTTCTTTTTCACGTTATTTCACACAATACATCAGAGATTGTTTAAACAAAAGCTGCTAACTGACTTTCCTAGTTCTCTTGCATAAGCATAGCTTAGACTCACACCCAAAGGTAGCTGTATGACAGTACATGTCCAATGGCCTTAAAATATTTTACAATGTATTTCCAAAGCAGAAACTTTTCTAACATAAAGGAGTATTTTTCCAAATGGAAAAAAAAATCAGGTAACAAATCACCTCTTCGGTAACATTTGTTTTGTTATCCCAATGTGTATGATCCATTTTGCATACTTTCAACAATTCCACCCAAGTTTGGTTCTGCACACATTCCTATTTTTTTTTTCTTTTTTAATCTATGCCAATGTATCCTCTCCCCACAGCTGCCACCCCAATAGAACAGATAGCTAGCAAGATGACCCAGAACAAAACTTTCAATTCAGGAAACTTCACTTCACTAGTCACAATCTTACAAGTGCTGGATAACATGAAGCCAGCTGTCTGAGCACCCCAGTCATCATAGGTATATCCTTTCCTTCCAATCTGTTCAAAACACTGGGAGCAGGACCTACAGCATCTTCACCCAACATCTTATCTGAGCTTCTGAACTGCTCATTATCTCTATACGAGCCACCACCAGGGAAGGAATAGCGATGTGAACCCCAATCATTTTTATCACCTGATTTCTCATGCCTATATTCCTGACACCTCGATTCCCAGTTCCAGTTAGATTCCTTCTTCCAGCTAGAGCCCTGGTTCCAGTTTGAGTCCTGGTTCCAGCTAGAGCCCTGGTTCCAATTTGAGTCCCGGTTCCAGCTAGGACGCTGGTTCCACCTAGAGTTCTGGTTCCACCTAGAGCCACCTCTTCTTGAAAAAGCAGAATTTGTAGAAAATGTACAAGAATTCACAGACCCATCACTCTTGTAAGAGAAATAGCTTTGTGAAGGATAGTTTGTTGAGTATCTTCCAGATGAAGGATATGAAGAATTGGAATAGGGTAATCTCTTATCACTTATACCCCTTGCTTTACTACATGTTTGTTGATTCCTCCAACTTCTACCTTCCCTGTCATATGGCATTCTGTTACCAGGGAGCTTATCTCCTTGCACATCTTTGGACATATACTCTGATGAGTACTCATTCACAGAACCTGTCGCATAAGAAGAGGCCCCAAGGGCTGGATTGTTGTTGGAAGCAGACTGGTTGAACTGCCTCAGCCATTCGCTAATACCACCAGCAGAACTTCCAGTCTGGAGAGCAAGAGAGTCCCTGAGTGCTGACATCACTGCAGAGTCAGCAGGTCTTAGTCCATAGGAAGATGATCCATCATCAGTTTGATAACTGTGCGAGTTGGCAGGAGCAAAAGAATTATCTGCAGCACACTGTTCATATTGAGAGAAAAAACGTTGATTCCAGTTAAAATTTCCTAAATAAAGAAATAAATACATAATGTAAGGAAGGGCACCAGAGGTTAAGTAAAATATTAAAAAACGAACCGAAAAGACAACTATTCTGAGGTTTCAAGAAGTGCATTTTTCCTGTTTCCACATTTCCCACCTTTGTACCTTACCTGAGTCCTTCTACCTTTCCACCCAACAACCTTCATGCTAAATAGGGCACACAGAGTTTTCAGCAGCACCTTCTGAATTATTTTCACACTGAGCCAAACGGCATTGACTGAACATAACCAGAATATTTTGGGTGGCTTTTCTGCTTTATTTTTCTTCTAATTCATTACATACATCTGGGACAACTGTTTGCAAAATAAATTTAATTCATTACAAGCCCCTTTTTGTCTGACTATTTACTGGGTTAGAAAACATCAGCTTTTGTGCTACAAAGCTGAACAAAGAATAACAGAAGGGAAATAACTGACTTAACCCAATTAATTACTTAATAAATAATCTGAATTCAACCATATTTTGCTTTACTATCATAGCATGATAAAAATCAACCACTGGAATTATCATACAAAGGCCTCTCAAGTAAGATTTATCTAAGAGATCAAAGAGATCAGGAAACATTAACTTTCTGTAATAATTATAAATAATGAGCCAGTGTCTCAACACTTTTGATTTTAGCACACGTGCTCTTCAGCTACAGTGGATATGAAATAAAATGGGTTAGCTTAAATCACATCATTTTCTCCCAGTGTTTGTCTTCTTCTTAAATATATCAGTTCTGCAGTAAACAGAAAAAAAAAGATTTACAAAAATTCAAGTCTTCCTATCCTCTAAAAATACAGTCAACCAAAAATTTGCTAAAGCTCTACTTTTGCAGCTTACCCTTACATCCTTTCTTACCAAGTTTCTGTGCACCCCAAGATTTGTGGAACATAGAGGGGAGCAACTCATTATCAAATAATTAGAAGGCCAGTAACCAAAAGAAACCAACTAGAAACCTCTTTCATTGCATCCCCTAGCAGTATCAGCAGAAGCATTCAATGTAAGAATGGGAAATACCTCTTTGAAGACACCTTGACAGGCCAGCCTTGACAGTGAGCTAGGCAGATGCTACTGCTTGGATTTCCAGCCACCTCTATTCTTTGTAATATTATGCTGTGAGACAGAGTGTTCCCAGACAGACAGGGTTGAAGTCATGAAAGCTTCAGAAATTGATAGCCTGAACTGACTCAGAGGACAAAGTGACACGGCACTCTAGAAAAAAAAGCACTATGGCTGGCCACGAAAATAAATTAAGAGTAGAACACTAGAAGAACAAGGAGTCTACACTACCTTTGTATTTTCCATATGGCTTATATGGTTTGGTGAAGTTTCTTCTTGCAGGAAATCCACCTTGAGATGTTGGCATCAGTGGCCTCAGTCTGTTAGTATAATTCACCTAGATTAAGCAGAAGTGTAGAATGTCTGTTCTTAAGCTGAAATGTTCAGTATTCAAAAAAAATTGTCTTAAAGTTAGCAGAGTACAATTTTAGGTGGCAGCAAACTCCATATGAAGGATGTTCTGTTCTGCTGGTTTCAATTACCACACTGAACTACCATTTGAAAACACTTTTTAAGAGGTGTGAACCTGAAGAACAGAATGAGGTGTCTGGGATGACAATACCATCTGTTCCAGATTTCTTTACTGCTCCTCGACATCACCTGGCTAAAACATAAAACTGGTGTATATACAAATCCTGTCTCTAACTAGGGAATGCAGAATGAAAGGCTCAACTACTGCCTGAGATTAAATGACGATTTTTAACCAGCTCATGAGAACTGCATTTTACTCACATGCCAGAATGTGGCATATATAGGAAATAGGAAAACAGAATACTGCAAAGACACACGTCAGATACTGTTAACTTAAGCTGTTGTCAGCCCCAGCCTCCAGCCCCTTCCTTTTTGTAAATGTTTTTCAAGGCCCTTACCTATTACCTACCAACACAATTCTCAAGCTTTATACAATTTCAAGAAAATCCAGTTTGGGCACTTTCTTGCTTCTTTTGTTTTTTTTCAAAGTAGTCCAGGCTATATTTTAAATGAGAAAGGTCTTTAAACTTGTCCGTTTTGTACTTTTCAGTAAATCCCATAATAGGAACAGCAAAAAATATTTTTCCTGTAAGAATCAACTTCAAACTGCTCATCCCCTAGCAGGAAACTGGAAATGGTAACCTTCAAGCTGATGTAGCACAGCACATAAGCAGACTTCCAACCTGTTATTTTTTTTTAGTGAGCAGCAAATGCATGACAATTTGAAAGTGTAGATCTCCAAAAGGTATTGACATATGTTGGAGACAAAAGCGCAAAGAGTTACCATCACTCAGCAGATATGGAGCATATTGTTTATATTTAAGAATCCATTCTGCAATTTCTTTCAGAAAAACACATGCTAAACTTTATGAATCAGTAGCTGTCAGAGGTGTTTAGCCATTTTTGTACAGATTTTGGTCAATCTTCACACTCCTTTTTTTCCTGTGGGTATTCAGTTTTCATGCAAAGAAGCTGTGATGGTTTGTAAGGGCATCCAATAAAAGGCAGAACATCTCGCTTGCCTTCATCTTAGGAGATTAAAGATCTCAACTGGGAACAGAATTACCAGTAAAACATTTACCCAAACGCTCATGAAAGAAAGAGTGACACATCTGGGTAACAGAAAAACACCTGATTAATCACAGAAGAAAAGCTATGAAGCAAGGGACCAAATGTAAAGTAAGGATGACAATCAGACATCACAATGTAAAACGGAGCACAAATCTGGGCAGGAAACACATGCAAAATGGAAGGAAAACAGATGGAACGTGATGAAGAACTAAGAAGCAGTGCCAAGCAATTAATGAATTTGATACTTCAAAATTGTAAAATAATTTAAAAATATTTAAATGAGGAGGGTTGGCCTATTATGAACTGTGACAGTTTGGCATGACATTAACATAATTAGTTCAACCATTTCTTGCCTCCCACTGGTAACACTGCTACAACTCTGGTCAAGATGAAGTCACTTACTGCTGCTTTCTTTTCACAAAAGGACTTCAAAGCTTCTGTGAGTTCCTGCGTAACACGAACAACACGTGTTGCTTCTGAGTCTGAGGTGATGTGAAAAGTCTCCTGTTGAAAAACACAGCAAGAATTGCTAGCTCATTGGGACACCTAAGTGTCATGTACACAAATAGACCAATTACACTTTCATTTTGGTATAACCAAGGTTAGACCACTAACTTACACATATTAAATATATAATACACAAATACAAACATGTATTTGAAAATACATAATTGTAAATAAAATTATGTCCTGATAAGAGGCAAAACACAACCCTTGGTGTCTGTAGCAATCCCATACTGACAATAATGAACATTCTGTTGCAGTCCTAAGTGTTAAATTTACACTCCTTGTCAAAGATTGAATAAAAAGTAAACTTTGGATACTTCATCAAATGCCTCTGTTTCTGCCATTTTGGTAACAAAAAGATGAAAGTTTTTACCATAATTTTCCTATGTATACTTTTGGGAAACAGAGTTACAAAAGACAGTGATATAACTACATAAAGTACAGAAAAGTTATGTGTATATGAGCCAGAAGTGTGCCCCTGGAGCTCGGAAAGCAAATGGTATCCTGGCCTCCATCAAAAGAGGGGTGGCCAGCTGGGAAAGGGAGGTGGTTGTTCCCCTCTACTCTGCCCTTGTGAGGCCCCATCTGGAATACTGCATCCAAGGGTACTGGGCTTGTTCAGCCTGGAGAAAAGAAGGCTGCGGGGTGACCTCATTGCAGCATTTCAATACCTAAAGGGAGCCTACAAACAGGAGGGGAATCAACTCTTTGAAAGGGTAGATTACTGCAGGATGAGGGGAAATGGTTTGAAGTTGAGAGAGGGGAAATTTAGGTTGGACGTCGGGGAAATTCTTTACAGAGAGCGGTGAGGTACTGGAACAGGCTGCTCAGAGAGGCTGTGGATGCCCCATCCCTGGAAGTGTTCAAGGCCAGATTGGATGGGGCCCTGGGCAGCCTGGTCTAGCATTAAATGAGGAGGTTGATGGCCCTGCATGTGGCAGGGGGTTTGGAGATTCATGATCCTTGCTCTAGATCTTCCAGTTTCACTTGGTTATCTAGTTCTACAGCAGCAGCAGTCAAGGCATCAAAGACAGCAGGACCAAACTGGCTCCTATCACTCAGTTTATCAACCTTGGTTTATCAAACCACAGCACTTGAGCAACATCAGTGATGCTAAAGCTGCTCGTTAGGGTGGCTCCTTAACAAAGAGAAGAATGGTCCAGTGACTAGTGAGACCATTCACATTGAAGCCAACATGCTGTTCTGAGCTTTTCAAAGAGCAAAGTCCATAAAAACGTACCTTAGAAATTAATGTTGGAGTCAAATAAATTTGAGCAGTAATCAATGGCTACATTACAATATTCAATGTTTCACACAGGTGAAGCTCCACCACTGCAAAGACTTACCAAATTCTTATCACAATTATTTGGCATACGTACCAAGAACTCCAAAGCTTTCTGTTTCCAAAAAGGATCATTCTGTGGGATTGGGGAAGAAAAATTAGAAGAATGAACACACAGTGTTTGTAATACCTTCCTGTACAAAACAAGGCTGTTTAATCTTTTATCCAACAACAATAGTCAACACAAATGAAAGACAGTATTTTTACATTGCAGCTGTAAACATTAAACTCTAAATAGCACAGAGCTCCTCAAGTCAGATACAGAGATCATTTAGGATTTCACTTTTGAATCAGAAAAAAGGGATGATAAATCTTTATTTTAAGATTTAAACCAAACCTCCAGAATAGAACATCTCTAATCTGAAGAGGGGCAAAACAATGGAGATTGGAGCATAAGGAAGCTTAAGACATTTGCAGAATTATTACTTCTACATACCTCATGCTTATGATCATCATCCCACCTTAAAAAGAAAGAAAGAGAAATACTAAGACATTTAAAAGATTACTAAAATGTCAGGTTTACTTTTGGTGCCTAGGATCAAATATTTCAATTTCCAAATGTATATAACTTAACGATACAGGATACATTTTTCTATATCCAAAACACTGTATTTCTTAAAGGTCTTTACTCTGACTCTCAAAAAACAACAGTTGCACTGATGAACTCTACAGATCAGTTAAAGGAGGTGACTGAAATAATGGAAACTTTTTTCCTTTCTATATGAACGTAGGTGCCTTTTCTACAGCTTAGGCAATGGCATCCCAAAGAAAGTGCAATTTAAATGTCAGGGTGTTACCAGTTTTCATGCAGGAGTACATCAGACTGCTACCGAATTGCATAAGCTGTGTAACATCTAAAAAATCATTGCTACGTAGAAACTGAATATCACATTTAATTTCAGGTGTTTTTCTCTCAGGCAGAAAGCAACAATTTACACAAGATGAAGTATAATGAAAAGACAATACATTTTCCCTGTATGTGATATTTGTTACAGAAGATATGTACTTAACAAGTAAAGTGATCTCAAAGAAATCTCTTTTGATTCCCCTGTGGAAGTTATATTCTCACCTTGCTTTCTTCTTTGATGGGGCTAGAAAATTAAGAAGAATCATTAGCACCATTGTAGGGTTTCCACCATATTACCGCAATAGAAACATTACTCAAACCAATCCATAACTGGCTCTAAAGTGATGGCAGTCTTTAAAAGGACTAAAAATCTCTCCAACCAGTACAATCTATATTAATTAGAAAGGAGGTTTAGAAACAAGATTATCTTTAAGACAGCAGCTGTGCTTCAGAGAATCAGTTATTGCATCATACATAACTTAGCACTTCTTAATGTGTTCCAGCAAAGCAACTGGACAAGTACTGATTCTCAGGACAAGAGACATATTTATCCCTACCATATGATGCTGAAAGACTCGTTTCTGTTTTTTTCTAACACCTGATGTTTCACCTGATGTTGAACAAATGCTGATAAGTTGCAACAAGAATTTGCACTGTATGTCCCAGAGTTTTCTGCGTGTCAGGAGAAAAAAAAGTTTGCCAACATTTCAGAGAAGACATCCAATGAAGAAAGAATCACAGAAACAGGATGGGAGGGATCTCTGCAGGTAGGACAACAGAATCATACAAAAGCTCAGGTAGGAAAGGATCCATGGGGGCTGTCTAGTCTAGCTTCATGGTAAGAGAAAAGTACCCTAGAGGCACTAAGTAAAACACTCAATAAAAAACAATTAACTGAAAGATGAGGACAAGGAACATTAGAATCATTTTCCTTGATTTACTCAATTTGTGCTGTTTTAACAGTTAAGTCCCCCCTATCTGAAGACAAGAAGCTCTGCACTTCTTAAACTAACAACTGAGGTTCTGCTAACTTCAGTAGACTAGCCTCAAAATTAGATCAGGCTGCTGAGCCCCAAGTCCAATTTAATTTTTTAAGTCAATAAGAAAGGCAATTTCCTATCTCTTCAGCACTTGACCTCTCAACTGTGTCTAACTTTCCACTGTTTAATCAGCACTGCCTTCACTACAATTTGTAGTGACACGTTCCTTCTCTGCACACCTTCAAGAAGCCTGGCTCCTACTCCAAATACATATTTTTGGTAGCAGAAGACAGTAATTAGATCACATTCTTAGCTGCTGTCTTAATCAAACCTGCTTCCCTGAAGCTGTCCTCCACATTGTACGAGCCAGTTCCCTCACAATCTTCATAGCTGACAAGCATTCTTCTCACACTTTCACCAGAATTTCTTGTGTATGCAGGACATTATTCCAGAAGCAATTTAATGAGTACCAAGAATAGTCAATAAGGGAATAACGCTTCCCTCAACCTGCTGGCTACACTCTTCCTAATACAGTCCAGGCAGTCAGCCTTCATTACATCTAGAGAAAATTGATGATACATGCTTGTACTGTTGTACATAAAAATCTGTAGGTTCTTAAAATTTGTTCCCTATCCAAATAGTATCCAGTTTGTATCCAGCAGGGTGTTGCTCCACCCCAGATGCAAGAATTCATATTTACTTTCGCCAGAATTCAGGAAGTTTCTGACACCCTATTTCTCTAGCTTCCCAAGATCCCTCTCAATGGGAACTTTCTTTTACCACATACTAAGCATTCTTCCAAAGTTTGATGTCATCTGCAAACTTGACAGTGCTGTATTATATTCCATTATCCAAACTGCTAATGAACACGTTAAGCAGTGCTGGCACCAAGATCAGCCACTCAGGAATGCCAGCAGCAAATCAGCCAGCACACCTAAAATCACTGACAACTGTTTTTTGAATCTAAACATTTTTCTCAGCTACCTTTTACCCAAGGTATCCCAAGTGTAAAAGCTACCCTTTTACACTTACAGTATCTCCTCAGTTTGGCTACAACCATATTAAGTGAGTGAGACTGAGCTGAAAACTTCCCTGAAGTTAAAACAACATGTAACCTTCCACATCTACAGAGCCAGCCCATTGCAAAAGGCGATCAGGTTGGTCAAGCCCAGTTTCTCCTTAGTAAATCCACAGTTGCTTCCCAGTCATCATCTTGGCCTTTACCACCAATAGATGACCTATATAAGGTCTTGTCCTATAATTTTTTATAAGGTCTGGTCAATCCTGTAGCCACATGCCTCACTTTTCAAGAAAAGCATACCTGGATTTTTTCAGGTCACCAAGGAACTCCACTGATTATGACCTTTCAAAGACTCCAGGAGAGGGTTCCCCCAACACCAGGCATATCCCATTTTTTCCTATGTACTTGCACATGCTCAATTTGCCAGTCCCTAAACTAACCCTCCTCTACTGTGACTTCACAACTACGTACAACATCTTGAAAGCAGACCTTTATTCAGTAAAGTAAAAAGTGAAGAAAGCAACAAGCATTTCAACGTTTTCCGTGTCCTTTATCACTAAGTTACTTGCTCTGTTCTTCAGTGGGTCAGCTCTTTTGCTGCTGTCACGCAGAAGCCTTTCTTTTGACCTTCACCAAGTTTCAACTCCATCCCAAATACATCTGAAATGCCTACATATTTCTTATTGGCAGCCTGCCCTCAAGTCTGTATGTTTCCTTTTAAGCACTGAAGATTGGTTGGCTGTTCTCTCTTCAAACTCACTAGCCACCTGCTATACCTGTCCATATTCTTGTATAGCAGAACAGATCATTTCTGCTCTTTGAGAGTTCTCCTTGAAGACTCATCTCTTTTGGGTTTCTTTTTCCTTTCAAGGCAGCCTGTCAAGGGATATTGGCTACTAGTTTTCTGAAGATGAAGGCAGTTCTCCCAGAGACCAGGATCTTGGCATCCCCATTCCCCTAAGGATTTTAAATTATATAATCATAGAATGGTCTGGGTTGGAAGGCACCTTTAAGGTTATCTAGTTCCAATCCCTCTGCTATACTACTGCTCCCACTAGGCCAGGTTGCTCAGAGCCCCCATCCAGCCTGGCCTTCAATGCTCCCAAAGAGGAGGCATTCACAACCTCACCGAGCAACCTGCTCCAGTGTCTCACCATTCTCACAGTAAAGAGCTTCATCCTGATATCTAGTCTAAATCTACTCTCTCCAGCTTAAAAATATTTCCCTTCGTTCTGTCACTACCTGCCCTTATAAAAAGTCCCTTTTCAGCTTTCCTGTGGACTCCCTTCAGATACTGAAAGGCCACTATAAGGTCTCCTTGAAGCCTTCTCTTCTCAAGGCTGAAGAGCCCTAGTTCTCTGAGCCTGTCCTCGTAGGGGAGGTGCTCCAGCCCTCTGATCATCTTCATGACCCTCCTCTGGACCTGCTCCAACAACTCCATGCCCTTCTTGTGTTGGGGGCTCCAAACTGGACACAGTACTCCAGGTAGGGTCCTATGAGAGCAGAGCAGAGGGGCAGAATCACATCCCCCAACCTACTGGTCACTTTTCTCTTGATGCAACCCAGGATACGGTTGGCCTTCTGGGCTGCAAGTGTACACTGTCAACTCATACTGAATCTTTTAATCAATCAACACTCCCAAATCCTTCTCCTCAGACCCGCTCTCATGCCATTCTCTGCCCAACTTGTATCTGCACTTCAGGGTGGCCCAACCCAGATACAGGACCTTGTATTTGGTCTTGTTAAACTTCATAAGGTTGGCTTGGGCTCAACTCTCAAGCTTGTCCAAGTCCCCCTGGATGGAATCCCTTCCCCTCTAGCATGATAACTGCACCCATTCAGCGTGGTGTCATCTGCAAATGTGCTAAGGATGCACTCAATCCCACTGCCCATGTTGCCTACAGAGATATTAAATTACATCGGTCCCTGAGGAATGCCACTTGTCATCAGTCTCCACATGGACACTGAGCCGCTGACTGCAACTCTCCTGAGTGTGGCCATTCAGCCAATTCCTTATCCAGTGAGTGTTCCATCCATCAAATTGATTTTTTCTCCAGTGTGGTGACCAGGAATGTCACGATCATAATCTCATGATCATATCAACTAAGGCTGCCTCTGATCATCATATTCCTCAGTCTTCTCCTTTCCTTGTGGGTAAAACGTGCAAAACCTTTCCCCACTGACCTTCCCAATACCTACATGAAAAACTGCCTGATTTCAATTTTGGATTGTTTGCAACTTTGACAAGAAGCCTCTATCTATCCATATCAACATTCCAGTCATACAAGCTATGGTATTATAGTTTTGCAGTTCTGATGATGTTATAGCTTTCTGATCATACAGAGAGTTCCAGTTTCACCATCCAGCCCAACCTCCCACTTCAAGAAAGATTACTGCCAGCTTTATAGAGCCAGGTCTTGAAAACCTCTGAGGACGAAGAATTCATTACCAATGGATAATCTGTTCCAGTGCTGTTCCATCCTCTAGGAAAAACTCAGTTTTTCCTGAGTTCAGCCTCTCAATCTGCCATCCATGGCTATAACCTCTTATTTCACTTTTTGCAGTTACCAACAACTGCAGCATTATCACCTTTGTAGCAATCTACTAGAAGGACAGTCATCAGTATTCTTTCCCATCTAAAGAAGTCCAGTGCTCTCAATCCTTGAGTATCACCACACCCCTCTGCTACGTATTCTCCAATTTCTCCATCTTCTTCTTGAGTTAGAAGGAATATAACTAAATAAAATATTCAAAGTTTGATCTTATCAGTACCAAACAGTGGGCAATAAGAACATTCATCAGTCTGCTTGCTGCCTGTGCTCCACCTGAAGTGTTACAAGATTGCTTTATATGAAATAAGAGCATTCCATTGGTTTATATTCGGCTTGGCAACCACCATAGCCATCAAGCCCTCTTTAGGGAGGCTGATAAGCCTGTCACTTTCTATCCTGTACTGACACATGGAGTTACCACTTACCCAATGAAGATACAGACAAACTTCCCCACTTATCTGCTATAATTTCAAATAAGAAATAACTCAATCTGAAGACTGTTGTCCAGAACAGCAAACTAAATCTTCGGAACTGTTTTTAATTTCCAGCTGCATTCTGTAGTAGCATTAACAGTAGTTTTTAGAACAGAAAATATTGATGCAAGCAGAATTCAGAAACTAAATTAGACTAGAAATTTATATGCTGTAGTACCACATTGTATTTATACAGATTCTCACACTTCATAAGAAGGTCATAGGGCCTTCAAGTTCATTAGCTCTCAAATTTGAGCAAGTGATTACTGGAATCAACTTAATAACGTATAGATGACCTTTCTTTAGAGAATAAAGAAATGTTTTAATTTTTCCTTTGAGGAAACCAACAAATCAATCCCTCCAAAGCTTCTCAAATGTATACAAAATGTATACATAATCCTGTTGGTTTTGCATGTGATCTCAGCAATAGCAAAAACTTAAGTGTTAATGTCTGTTTTGTCTCTTATCCAGATAACGTTTCTTAATTATATCCTCAAACTCATTCTCACTGACAGAAGGGAGCTCTGAAGATGAAAGTCACTCTCTAAAAATGTGATCTACTCTAAACCCACACAGTCATTAAGCCAGTAAGCATGAATTCCTTCTAAATAAGTAGTGTTTTTATTTTGGAATAAACTTGATGTTGTGCTACTGTGATTACTACTTAATCAAAGCAGAACATCACAACACTCTTGTCTGTTCCTTCCAGTTCTTCATAGCCTGTGGAACTGCATGGGATTTTTTTTTTTTAATGTCCTGAGTCAATACTTGAATACATTTTACCTATAGATGTCCTATAGAAGTCAGTAAGCACTGAGATCAAATACTATCATGTCCACACAACTTTCCTCGTGTTAACACTATACAGTGCTGCCTACCTGAAAGTTGTTAATCAGCTATTTTGTCCTTCACTTACTAGCAATCTGGATCATCATCATTTCTCTGAAATACTTAAAATATTTTAAGATTCTTCTAGAAGATGAACTTTCAGTATTACACCTTCTATATTATAGAGAAAAAAAAAATCAGCAGCGGTTTCCAAAAGATTCCCATACAAAGAAGAAATGATAGCAACATCCATTCAGATTTATGAAGAGCAAGGTATAGCACCTAACTTGCTAAAAACCTCTATACCAAGATTCTGACCAACAGTTCAGACTGTGGTGGTTAGAATACACAAACAGTTCTGGAGGTTTTAGAACTCATTCATAAAGTTTACTTTGAACTGAGGATTACAGGACCAGGCTAATGGGTTACATGCCACCTCTTTCACAAAACAGACAAAACTTCAAAAGGGTCTCTGCTACTTTGTTTGGTAGACCAACATAAATAGGGACAAGACACAAAAGTGATCAATTCAAATAAATCACCACTGTGGTAGGCACTATAGGGAGGATTCATACTGACATACGCTGTTGATCTAAGCATCCTGTGCCCATTTCAATAAGCCTAGTGCTACTAGTACTAGGGTCAAAAGGTAACAAGTACACATATTTCTTCAGGTTGGAAAATGATACAACTCAAATATAGAGGGAGGATGTTGCTTTTATGTTGGAAGGTTTTGTTTCCATTGCTCATTCAAATAAATTTGCTCAAAAAAAGATAATTTCCACCTTCAGCAGCAATTCAGCACTGATTTGTATGCCTTTTGATGATTGAAATTAGGTGGAAAAGGTTTTATCAGCTTTTTCAGAGAAATCCATCTAAAACCATATTTATATACTTCTTGACTTTTCTTGATTATAAAATTACTGTAGTTATCTTAAATATCTCCAGAACCGAGCAGCTAAAAAAGCCTCTCTTTCTTCATTTCAAATTTACAAAAACAGGAAAAATCTTTGAAAAGAAAACATTTTTTGCTATTACTTACAATTTTAATGTTTTAAAACAGTCAAACCCTTCAAGTTCAAGCAGTAATTCAAACTAAGCTGGTTTTGGCTGTCACATGTGTTATATTCAAATAATACATAAACTTACGTGAGGTACTTGGTCTTATGTAACCTTCAATCTAGAAAGCAGACATAGTTTTATATTAGATTTTTCTGATTAAAGTTCATTACAATAGTCCCTATTGCAACTGACTGTAGAGACCGAACAAGTACTTTTATTTGTCCTAGAACAGTTTTACAAATTATATATAGCCAGTACAAATTAAATTTAAGAGAAAATTCACAAACATTTGAGAAAGTTAAATTGTGTTAGTTAAGAATCACTGAAATAAAGCAGTAAAATCTCCAGTTGGACATTTTCTAACTGAAAGGAAATTAACTTCTTCAACGACTTCATTTTTTTCACAAAAATTTCAAGACTACTGTTCCTTTCCCCACGTTTCAGGGCGACTTTAGCTCAAGTCTTGGTTCTACTTAGCACTACATGTTCTAGTCACACGCAAGAATTTAACATGATTTGTCAGTAGTACTTTTAAAACTCACTAGGTCAAACATAAATGCACTGATTAAAGATACATTATTGAATATTTAACATCCACTTCCAGTTACCTTATACATTTTTAATCCTTCAGTCTTCTCTAGCTCTCCTGCTATTCTTTTGAGAAATGAGACTTTGCATTCTTTTACATCTGTTGCCTTTCTCTTCATTTTGTCTGGAAATTCTTTGGACTGTTGACGAAAACAGTTTTAGATGAGCAACATCAAAATCCATATATTAAAGAACAGGCACATTTCATTTCTTGGACAAGCTTCTAAGGACTAGTAAACAGTTTTGAATATGAGTAGCTAGTTTCTTCTCCATAACACAACTAGTTAAATGTTAATGTTGAAAATATATAGGCTGTCTTCTCAACAGAATTTGGATACTACATAAAGTTTGCAATTGAAAGGTAACATGCTCTATACAATATCCAATAATACCATGGGCATGCCGAGAAATGAGAGAGAAGCAAGGACTGAGAAGCTGATCTCAGATGAGATTAAAATACTTAAGAACAGACTTCGAGTAGATGCAGATATGCACCGCTGGATCACATTTTCTCAGTAGTTCACAGCTTTATAGCTATTTATGTTGATCTGACCCATCAATACTCAGTCAAGCAATTATTAGTGACATCATTTGGGGGGGGGGGGGGAAGGGGGTTAAACTTCAAATTTGATGTAGGTATTCGTAGGAAAAAAATTATTTTTTTTTCCCTATCTTGTGATCAAAATTACTTACTATGTATGCTCTTCTGTGTTTATATCCACTGAGATGTTCTATCATGGGCGCCATCTCTGTATTAAACCCACACAGCTTGCATTCATAATGCGGCTCTCTTCTTCCCTCAAATCTGATTTCAACCACATGTTCTAAGCCTGTAAAAGCAAGAATTACAAATATCTATATTTAAAATAGGCTATTATAAACAGAAATATTTTCTTCAAAAGATGCTCACTAAAAGCCAAAATTAATAAAGAAGAGTATTCCATTTTCAGAATTTCAATGCTTGTTCAGGATCACAAAGGTCAGGTTTGCTACCCACATCAATTAAATTCTTTTCTTTACAATGTTTTATTCAGGAGGAAAAAAAAACTTCTATGGAAGATTTGCAAACTCAGTAAAACAAATATATAACTACTCTCCTGCCCAGGATATTTTTAAGGAACAAAAAACCACATTTCCTTCAATACAGCCATATAAGATAATTAATGGAGACATGTCAGTCAGTCAAACAAAAAAACAAAAACAGGAAATACCACACCAAGTTCTATATTAAAAACAAATCAGTTTAGTTACTCAATCAAATAGAATTTGAGTAGCAAATTATAATGCTTGAGTAGCACAAAACATATCCAGAAATAACAATAACCCTTTCATAAAATCAAATCCTTTGTTAGATAAAATCTTTTTTCTTTTTTTAAAGAATTAACAGGAGAGAAAATGGATTTGCTTAATTTCATTCCTAGAAGTCACTGAAAGACAGACTACAGCTTAGAAGCCCTCAGAAATCTCTACATGTGATGCTTATAACTAGCATTAAAAATTTACTTACAAACTTGTGCTACATAAGGAGTGATGGCAGCAGGAGAGGTGTGTCCATTAAGCAGTGATAACGCTGCATGTGGAGTACTGTGACAAATTCTGGGCTTCCCAGTACAAGTGAAAGGGACAAACTTGAAAGAATTCTGCGAAGGGCCATAAAGATGATGAAGGAACGTAAATACCTTTCACGAGGAAAGGCTAAGAGTGCTGGGAGTGTTCAGCTTGGAATAGAGAAAGAGGGAACATAGGTGTGTACAAAAGCACACGAAGGGAAGGTGCAAAGAAGATAGATACAGGCTCTTACCAATGGTGCCCAGTGACAGAACAAGAGGCAATAGGTTAAAACTGAAGCACAGGAGATGACTTCACTGTGAGAACGAGTGGTTATCAACAGAAGTTGCGGAGTCTCCATTGCCTACCAGATATTCTAAAGCTACCTAGATACAGCCTTAATCATCCTGCTTGGTGATCATGCTTGAGCAAGGAAGTTGGACAAAATGACCTCCAGACAGTCCTTCCAACCTCAATGTTTTCGTTTTCTGAAAAAGCATCCTTACTGAGATGGTTCCTTCAGGAAGTAATGATCTAACTAGTAAGGTGCATAGAAGAGGTGGCTTTTACAATGGTTGTGTAACAAGAACTTTAAAAGGTATAATGTATAAGATACATCCCATTAATTACCCAACACCAATTACATAATGAAACAATTACATAATGAGACAATATCAAAGTATCACCTCATATTTCAAAACATATGCAATACAAAAACATAGCATTTAGAGAACAAAAAACCACCATACCAACTAGAGGTTCTTCTCTTTTGGGATCATTAATAAAATCCTTCAGACATGTTATGTCCTTTGTGAGTCCTCTCTTCACTAGGATAAAAAAAACACAAATAAATATTACAGTAAAATGAACAAGCGCATTAGACAGCTTACATTCAATTTCTATGATTTTACAGGAGCTTCTAATTGAAACTTAAGAGGAACAAAGCTAATTTTCACTCTGAAATGTGAAAAAGAAATGGATAGGGTCTCTATCACTCACAAGAAGACTCCAGCACCACGCTTTCAATAACATTTTTACACATAAGGAATTGATGACTTCACAAGATCAAAAAAAAAAAACCAAAAGACAAAAGAAGATCTAGCAGAATCCAATTTACTGACAAAACAGTCTCAAGTTCATAGCCTCTCCCAGACCATGCCAGTCGTTAGTAAAAAAAAAAAAAAAAAATTAAAAAAAAAATCACTTGCCTCTCATTTCTGCTAAAACTCTAATGCTCATATTGCACTCTCCATATTATTTGTTTGGAATCTGGAGTTCAATACTCATACTGCCCTAAATCTAATAAAGAGACATAAGTTCACTAACATGGCACTAATTGAAACTCCCTGCATTCTCTAGGCAGACCAGAAGCTGCACAATCACGTTCGTTATGCTCCTGAGCATTAACTAGAATTGTTTCAGCTGGGGGCATCTCTCACTCCTCACTGGGTTTTATTTGCTTGGTTTTATCTTTAACTGTCCTAAAACACTTCTGAAGTATTCCTGGTCAACTCAGAGCACCAGCTACACCTATCTGTAAAACAAACTCAATGAGGCAATAAATGTATTTTAAAGTGTTCGCTGTTATAAAAGAGTATGCTCAAGCATTAAAATACCTGCTTCTATATCTGATAAAAATGTGCAGAAATAGAAGTTATCTTCCTAATTACTTACAAGTAATACATACACCCCAGTGAGATGGCTGAGTCACCATCCCTGAATGTGTTTAAAATCCATTTGCACGTGGTGCTCAGGACGTGATTTAGCAGAGGGTTCTAAGAGTTAGGGTAGTATGGTTAGGTTGCAGTTGGACTTGATGATCTTGAAGGTCTTTTCCAACCTGAGCAATTCTATGATTCTATGATTAAGTGTATTTCAACCTAGTACATTTCCCGAGATTCTTCCCAAGAAGAGTCATAACCACTGACAGTTTCTTCAAATCCAAACAAACAGAAGTGGAACTTCAAGCACTAAATAATGTGTTACTGTTTTTTGTCCTTCTAGGATGCCAGGTTACATTTAAAGAAGAACATAATCAGGACAGCGAATTTCATGTTTGCTCTTATATATTCACTCCATCAGGAGCATGTGTTTGCTGCCATCAAGCCCAATGTCAGGGCTGCATATATTAAAAAAATACTTCACAAAATGCCAGCACTTAATGTATATGCATTATCTGTTGTAACTTAAGTGTGGTGGAAGATATCTGCCAGGACAACTCCTGCCACAGGACAGTGAGGCCAAATCCTCCAAAACTTCATAGGTCTTCTTAGTTTTATTTATTTATTTGGAAATGCATCTTGTTTTACATGCTTCTGTTAAACTTTCACTTTATTGTATCTGTACATACAAGCATGCTACAAAAAGCTCAGTTGAAAACTTCATTATCTAATATTCTTTTTAGATCATCAGAAAGAAAAAAAAAACTATGATGCCTCAGGTATTGATTTATTTCACTGAAAATACACATCTAAGAACTTTCCTTAAATAAAATAACCAGTGCACAAAAGGAACGTTTGGTAACTTGCATTACTTCTTAATAAATCAATTAACAAAAGCTTTGATGGTTTTATTTTAATGATGCCCAAAGTTGGATTTAAAAAGGAGGTTAGCTCATTTATATTCAGATACCTGGTCTCTGCATTTCATAGCTCATCGTAGTTCGGAAGGGAGCTGGAGGACCTAAGATGACAGTTTGACAGTCAGACCAGTCCTTCTCACACGCTCTTAAGTACATAATAGATCATCCAACCACCTTAATGACCTGAACAGTTATCTTCATTATGCCCGTTTAATATAGGTTCAGTTTACAACAGTATTTCATCTTGGTACACTTTTCTTCTGTAACTTAACTTCCCCAAATATGAAAAAGTCTTCTTTTCTGCTCACCTTCCTCACTTACACAAGATACCAACCACATAGATAAGTACCATAAAAACATAGCGTATCAATTACTTCATTTTTTTAATTGCTTTGCGTACCATCTCATTATTTATTTTAGCTATTCAGTTTTCTGTCTGAAAGCAGATCCAGCAGCATAGGTGCCCGACAAACTCTTACCTAAATATTGAGAGCCTAGATAGCCCCAAGTCATTAAATTGCATGAAGAATAGTACTTTTACACAGGCATCTGTACATATTTCTAACCAATTTCAGAGTGAATATTTAAATGAGCTTTTTTAAACATGACCCCTTCATTGGGAACTTCTCTCCCTTGCTCACTCTTAAATCCATACACACAGACATACCCATTTAATGATGCTCTCAGCATTTTGGAAATTGTTACAACCAAGAATAAATGAAAACAGTTCATACAATTCAGATCACACAGATCTGAGTACTGTTTAGCTTAAAAACTTGAAAAATTAGACTACTCATTTGCTCATGAAATTCTTATTTTTGAAGAGATTTTCCATGCTCATAGCAAATACTGTATGTTGCATATAGCACAGGCTTCCTCCTTCTGCACAAGATCAACAGTGAGGAGATATATATCAGAAATGTAAATCAGATCAAAGCTGCAAATATTCTGCAAACAACTACACTATTAATGTAAGGGAGGGGTATAAGGAATTATGAGACATCAAGAAGGACATAAGTTATCCAGCTTTTTCAGTAACAAGCTTCAAAATTCATGGTAGTATAAACAAGAGAGGCTCTCCAGATTCTTTGCAAGTATGAAAACTACTTAATTCCAGAGCTGTTTTGTTAGGCTTCATCCAGCCTGAGATGGATTTCGGATCCAGCAGGCCCTGACAACATGGTCAAAAGCTAAATAACACCAACAGGCATCTGCAGGAAAAACTATTCTTCTATTTTAGTTTGCTGCAACAAGGTTGAGTTTACACGTACAGTCAAGCTTAAGAAAAAAAAAAAGACACAGCAAAAACAGATCAGTTACAACTCCTACTACCACCAAAGATACCCACCGTGTTTTTTTTTCTTTCCTTGTTTTCAAACATTTACAGACAGCTACAACAGTCTCTGCTAACAGCTTAACAGGAGTTATTATCCAGTAAGACACTCTCCTATGCACTGATGCTAGTTTTGCACACTAGAACTTAAGCTTGACATTTATGAGCCCCATAGCTTTGTAATTAGTCTACTAACAATGTTAAATTGTATTTCTTAAGTATCTCAAAACCAGAGCAGTAGTATTTTCCCTTAAAGCCTATCACTGATAAATGAGCTGGAAAAAATCAGCTGCACTTCTGCACTCAATGAGTATGAGTAGCAACCCAGACTCTTACTGGTGTTCAGCGATCGGGGCCCACTGCAATTAACTTCTTCATCAGTAATCTGACTCAGGGTGCACAGAACACCGTCCATTGGCAAACTCACAGACAATGCAGGCATACAACTGATGTCAAGGCTTTAGTTGAGCAGGACTTTGGGAACACTGATTGTTAAAGAAACTTTAAGTAACGTAAGAATTGAAGAGCTCTACAGCTGAACTAATGCCATTTACCAGCACAAGCTGAGCAGCTGCACAATTACTAAGAACCTGATGGTATTGACAGATGCTAAGTTGAACACCAGCCAAAAGCAATTCTCCGAAAACAAGGTAAACCCCCTTCTGAGGGCCTGTACAGGCAACTGGGGTTGTTTACTCTGGTGAAGCAGAGATTAAGAGGAGATTTAATTGTGTCAATACTCAAGTGCAGTTACAAAGACCAATCAAACCCTTTCAAAGAGGTGGCAAAAGCATAACAAAGAGATAACAGATTGCTACTTAGGAGGCACAGGTTTACTTTGTTAGGATGAAAGTTATTTAAGACAAAGCAACAACTCCAGATTGATTAAATGGAGGTGGCAGACTCTGTCCTTGGAGACCTTCACCCCTTCAATAAGGAAGGCATGATCCAACTTTGGCAGCAGTCCTAATTCAAGCAGGAAATTAGATGAGATAGCCTCAGGAAATCCCTTCTGAATAGCAATTTTATTTAGTATGGAATATTTTCCAGATACTAGCAATCTATACCAACAAAACCACCAAACTCTCAAAACTCTCCTTTTAATATTCAGTGACACTAGTCATAACACATTTGTTTTCCTCCTTCCATACCTATACCTGTATTTGTAATGCACACACATTTGTATTTACTGTCAGATATCACCAATTCAGTTACTCCAGAACAGCAATGGACTGAACTCAGCAGAGCAGACATTTCTGAACACAAGAGGTGAAGCGCACAAAATTATTCGGACAAAGCAACAACAGTTTTCCAAATTTCTTTCTTCTTTGGCCAAAAGATCATAGGAAATAAACGCTCGATCTCCTCCCTTCCTGATCCCTGAACACACAGATGAAACTGCCTCAACTACAGCTGAAAGAATGACCACTGTGCAAAGAAGTCATATGACCAAAATTCATATACTAAGTTAAATCAAAGCTCAATAAAGTCCTAGAACTTCAGTATCTTCTTTTCCCACATCATCTATTTAGATTCGCTCTTCCAAACCGCTTGGGAGCAGACAAAAAACAACAAACAAAAACAACCAGACACCCAGTTTTGTCTACCACAAAACTAACTTGTTGATAGTTTTGCCACGTGGAAACTTGAACCGTATCCACAAGTTTTTCTTACAGAAAGCAGTACTCCTCCAAACACAGTCATCTGTAAACAGACTTATTTCTTGGCCTGACTTTAAAGGCAACTAGATTGCGCAGTTAAACAGCCAGGTTTGTCACACTAACCACTGCTTGAAACACTCAGCATCCAAACAATTGTGGGAAATTGTCATTTTGGTTTATGAATGATAGCTGTATTGGTGTTGTTCTCCCCAGTGACAAAGGAATTTTATTATTATTATTAATTCTCTGCAAGGAAGACATTGCTGATGATAATGTAAAACATTTAAATGTCAAACTTTGTCTTCTTAAGCACTTGTTCTTCAGATAGTGCGTATTTCACATACCCATCAGGTTTTGTCCCAAGCAATTTCCAAGAAAACTCATCCTTCACTCTGATAACATCCATACATTTTTGCTCCTGGTTCTTCAAACTCCACTGTGAACATGCTGTCATATTTCACTCTCACTGGAGTATTTGATAATACTTACCAGAACAGCACACAACAGTGATAAAAGAGCATCCCAGGAAATTATACCCTAAATGACAGTGGACTTATACTTTACATAATAGGTGTTAAGAATATCCATACCCATCACTAAGTAATCCACAAACACTGTCTACAATTTATTCATTCTGTGTGTTTGCAAACCGTAGAATTCATCAGCTATTTAAAATTTAAAAAGTCAACCATATTCAGACTTTATTGTTATACCTCAATGAACATCAATTAATTTCCTGGAGTTGCAGACTCTCAAGGTAAAATGTAACTGGTAATATACTTGTTGACGAGTTTGAGAAGTTCTGTATCTGCCTTAAATTAACAGCTCTGAAATTCACCCCTTCCCACCCCTCCAAAAAAAAAAAAAAACCCAAACAAAAGCAAACAAAAAACCACGTGCACCCCAAAGACAAATAAGTAACTTCAGCAGGCTAACTTTCGGCCTTCTCTTGACAAGACAACTGTAACAAGAGCTTACAAATTTGGCTTCCCATGAGCAGGTCTTCAATGAAGCACAGGTCAAGACAAAGAAGAATAAAGGAGATGTCAATACTATGTATACTCACTTCACATTAGAAATAAAAGGATGCTTATTGCTTCAACGTGGATTACTGTGGTTCAGGATTTTCTGTTTTAAACAAAGCACACCTTGTAAAGTTTCTGCCTTGTGGCATCCTGTGATGCTGTGACTACTCCGAAAGTTAGCTCCAGTTTGTTTCCTAAAGTTGCTTATGAAGATTACTTTCCTTAACGATCAGGGACTTATTCATTTCCATAAGATATATCTCAGCTGAAAAACTTTAACGTATGATACGTCTGAAGATGCTGTGGCTGAAATGACCATATGCTCTTACCTTGAACCTTCATGAAATGCTGAGCCCACAGTACATTAAGCAGTATCATTTTCCAGAAGCGTAGGTTTTTGCAGACACCTGCATCCCGCCACTTTCCCTACTGTCTTGCTATCACACTTTCTTCTGTCCTCTTAATCAAGTTTCAGTTTTCATACTATGCATCTTTTGCATTGCTCCTCCAAAACAAGACTTTAGATTCTTGAAGCAGAAACTCTTCAGTAATCAAGCTTACATTCATCATCAGTACCATTCTTAATGATCTTTTCCAATATGAAATCCAACAAATGGTATAGAAACTCATCTTCCTCTAAAAATGTTCCACCCATGGCCAAAGAAATCTGTTGTTACTGAGATATCAATAAAATTCTACACCGCTGAAAACCCACAGGACACTGCATAGACATGTATATCTTCAGAACTCTTGCAGAATTTGTCAAGTAGCATTACCAACATTTCTAAGAGAAGCACTGCATGCAGATCTTATGTCTACTGATGCAGAATGTCTCAGAGTTGTTCGCACACTTGAATGATGTGCCTTGCAATAACATTCTGTTTTCAGCCCGAAACCACCAGTGAAGGTAATGAAGACCATCCTCTTAGAAAACAGACTCTGACCAGTGCTTTCACTGGATCTTCCTCCTATGCTGATTCTTCTGAGTGCAGTAAGAGGTGAGCTCAGCCAGTAGCGCTTCTATCAGTGAAGGGCTGACATCACATTTTTCTGTGCAGATATGTACTCAGAATCCATTTTGACTAATCTGGTTCAAAAGATACTGGAGAACAGACATCAAAGCCAAGATGTGTTTCTGTAAGCCTAGTTTCTTAGGAGAACATGCTAAAAAAATAAGCTAGAAATGAAAGGCTCATTTCTTGTGATGACTATACGTCCATTCCAATTTATTATCTTTACACTAGTTTTCAATCACTACTTCTACATATGCCAGTGCTCTCTGCTTGTGGTACTTTAAAATCTTGTGCATCCATGCTTTTAAAGCACACCATTTCAAAGCAAGTTATATCCCAGATTTTGAGTCCTTCTACCATTTACTTTCATTTTCTTGGCACATGTCTGGATCCATATTCTCATTTTATGGGAAAACATTCCCCAACAACTCAGTTTACATTGAGTGGGTCTTTGCTACTCCAAGTCCACACTACAATGAAGAAAGGCATAATGTTCCTGTGATGCAGCGAGGCAAGTTCAGCACAGATAACGCAGCATCTGAAGCAGTGCTGTGTTAGCCTACTTGTATAGATTCTTAGTGTACTGCCTGAAGCTTAGCAATAAGAGCATGAAGCTGACAACAAGCAGCAGACAATTTAGCTTGGGAAGGTAAGAAACTAAGATACGGCCTACCTATTCCTCTATTAAATAGATATATGGATACTTAGAAATGGAAAGGCAAAATTAAGGCTTCTGCTAGTAAGTATTTATTAATTCAACAGTTCATTAGATAAATACCTCAAAAAAAGTTCAGCATATAAAGAGAACTATAGTTACAGGTATACAGATCTGAAAAATGCAAATATACAAACTACTGGAAAAGCAACAAATATTAAACCCCCCAAGCAGTACCTACACTAAGAAGCTGGAAAGATAAAAGCGTTATACTTACAATAGACAGTCTTGAATCTCAGTGCTTCTTCTTTCTTTAGTAATGAAGATGCAAGTCATCCCAAAATAAAATAAGAAAAACAAATTAATGTGCTGTGCCATTTGAAGGAAAAACCCCGTACTTCCTGAATGAAGCCTTTGCAGAAAATTACAATACAGGCCAAAGTTTCCATTATCAAATAGGAAAAAATGAGCCTTTATGATTATCTGCAAAAGCTCAAAGTACTGGCAAAAGCATACTTACAGTTAACATAAGGTAAATTTCAAGAGAGCCCTGGTATTAATGAAATTTTAAGATACCAGGCAAAACTTTGGTTTCCACATGACTGCAGCCTCTAAGGTTCCAAAAACTGTAGTTCCATCAAGAAAAAACCTCACACAGAAAAGGATAACAAGCTAACAAAAAAATAGCTTCCCCAACATATTAGGTGGCTTTGTATAAAATTCCAGCGTAGCCAAGTCTCCTGAAAGTTTATTCCATCATGAAGAACAGGAAAAGTGGCTTTCATCAGCTGAATCCAGAACAGATCACTTTTTGGAAGCGTCTAAGAAAAAGAGCAATTTATATTTCCATTTTAAAACGTGGCTAAAACCAATACTGACTTATTTTTAGACCTTTTTTTTAGCAAATATGTACAAACTTGCCACCAAAAAAATGAAAAGAAGCGTCATCATTTGCAGCAAGACAATTGTTTACTCACGAGCACTTCATGGAGTTCAGTGCTCTATTTTCAGTACTCAGCACCATGGAAGATATGTTGCATGTGAGTATGACAGCTCAATAAGAATCAAGACTGACACAACAGTTTTGTTTCTTTTCAAAAAGCTAAACAGTTGATCTTTCATGGTAGCTAAAAACAAAATAGAAAAAAAAAAAGGAAGTCACTTAATCCCAGTAGCATCACAGACAGTGAGTGGGTGGTGCTGTATTAACTCAGCAGGATTTTGTAAGCTTGGAACACAGGGTCTTCCTTCCAGTTATCCTGCCACCAGTACTTTTGTTATGCATAAAACCACTTGTCATTCTACACCAGTTTTACAATAAACAGCTGTTAATACCTGACATTTCAGAGAAGTGTTGAAAAATATTAGCAACTGTGAGCTGCTGTTGCAAGAAAGTTTCTTGCTGTCCACTTTTGGACAACCAATTTCAACTGCACTTGGATTACCACTTTAGCACTAAAAATGTTATTCCACAGTTGAGACTGATGGGTCACAAGTAAAATGGAACTTCTCTAGCTTTAAAAATAAATCAAGAAGAAAACAAAAGAAGAAAGAACAACAAAACTACGTTGAGAATTAATATTCTCACATATTAAGAAACTTTTTCTCTGTCCTTGTGTCACAAGCAAATTGCAACAACTGTTTTTGAGCTGACTGTGAAAAGTTAGACACTTTGTTAAAAGTTACTCTAACTGTGAGAAGTCAAAACTCAAAAACTGCTGTCTTTTAGGGTTCCAACCTCCCAGACACACACTGAGATTAGTTTCCACACATTCAAGGTCAAGGGTTATCAAACAAAACACTCTTTCACGTGCAGTAAATTATGTAAACATCATTTAATTCTTCCTAAATACATACACCCTTGAAATTACATAAGCTACATTAGCAACAAATTAACAGAAACTCCGTTTATTCACAGAACTGCTTGGGTTGGAAGGGACCCCAAAGCCCACCCAGCCCCACCCCATGTCAAGGACAGGGCTGTCCCCCTACCAGCTCAGCTGCCCAGGGTTCCATCCAACCTGGTCTTGAGCCTCCAGGAATGGGGCACCGCAGCTTCTCTGGGCAGCCTGTGCCAAGGCCTCACCACCCTCTGAGCAAAGTTCCTCCAAACATCTCCTCTCTTTTGGTCTAAAGCCATTTCCCCCTGCCCTTTCACTACAACACTGTGTAAAAAGCTGGTCTCTCTCCAGTTTATAAGTTCCTCTCAGGTACTGGAAGGACACAATGAGGTCCTAAAGCTTTCTCTTCTCCAAGCTGAACAAGCCCAGCTCCCTCAGCCTGTCTTCATAGGAGAGGTGCTCCAGCCCTCTGATCATCTCCACCGTCCTCCTGTGGACCCACTCCAACAGCTCCAATGCCTTTCTTTTGCTGATGGTCCCAGGCCTGGACACAGTACTCCAGATACAGCCTCACGAGGGCAGAGTAGAGGAGGACAATCAATTCCCTCACTCTGCTGGTCACTCCTCTTTTGATGAAGCCCAGGAAACATTCGGCCTTCCTGGATGCAAGAGCACACAGCTGGCTCACTGTTAAGCTTTTTGTCCATCAGGTCCACCACATCCCTCTCCAAAGGACTGCATTCAATGAGTTCTTCTCCTAATTTGTACATATATCTGCAACTGCTCTGATCCAAGTGCAACATCACGCACTTTGCCTCACTGAACCTCAGAAAATACCCATGTGCCTACTTTTCAATCCTGTCCAGTTCCCTCTTGAGGCATTCCTCCCTTCTATTGTGTCAAAAACACCACTCAGCTTGGTGTCATCTAAAACTTGCTGAGGGTACATTCAAACCCACTGCCTACATCACTGATAAATACATTGAAGAACATGGGTCCCAAGACTGACTCTTGGGGGACACCACTCATCACCAGTCTCCACTTGTATACAGATCCATTGACCACAACCCCCTGGCTGCAACCAGCCAACCAATTCTTCATCCACCACCTTCATCCAGCCTTCAAATCCTTATCTCCCCAGCTGATAGATAAGGAGATATTACGGGATCATAATATAGGCCTTGCACAAGTCCAGATAAACAACATCATTGCTCTTCTTTTGTCCACCAATGCCATCGCTCCATCACAGAGATTGGTCAGGCATGATCTGTCTTTGCTGAAATTATGCTGGCTGTCTCATATCTCCTCTTCATCTCATACATGCCTTCACATAGCTTCCAAGAGGATCTGCTCCATTATCTTCCCAGGCACAGATGTGAGGCTCACCAGCCTTTAGTTCCCCAGTTCTTCCTTTCTCCCGTTCTTAAAAACTGGAGCGATGTTTCGTTTTATTCAGTCATGGAAGTCTTTGCCCGAGAGCCACAATTTTTCAAGGACAATGGAGAATAACTTTGCAATCACATCAGCCAATTCCTTCAGGATCCTGGGATACATGTCATCTGGACCCTCTGATTTGTACACACCCAGCCTCATGAGATGGTCTCAGACTTGCTCCACTCTTACAGTGGGACAGATTTTGCATCCCCCAAAACTCACTCAGAGAACACAATAACATAATAGGCTCAGGAAGACTGACTGCCAGCTAAGACCAAGGCAAAGAACTCACTGAGTACTTCAGTACTTCTCTAAATCCATTGTAGTCAGTTCTTCCTTCTCATTTATCAAAGAGGGTATACACTCTCCTCGGCCTGTCTCTTCTGATCAATAATACCTAAATAATTCCTTTTTTCATATCCCTCACCAAGCATAGATCCATCTGCACCCTAGCTGGAGATCTGTGTCCAGATTCATCCCTCGTATTCTATCCAAGCCACCCATCCCTGCTTCTGCTGCCTGTATTGTTCCTTCTTTTCCCTTCACTAGTTCCTTACTCAGGCACACCAGTTTCCTTCCTCCTCCACATGATTTCCTGCGTTGGGGGTTGAAGAGCTCCTGTGCTCTCAGAAAGGCGTCCTTAAAGAGTTGTCAACTCCTCTCCTTTGCCCCCAAGCTTCCCAGGAGATCACATCCAATAATTCCTTAATCAGCCTGAAGTTCACCTTCCTAAAGTTCAGGGTCCTGACTATGTTTTGACTAGGCCCATATTCCCAGAGCTCACTAACTTGACCAAGGCATGATTGCTACAGCCTAAACTGCCTCCAACCTTAACTTCTTTAACAATCTCCTCCACACTGGCAAGCACCAGATTGAGTAACATTTCTCCTCTGGCTGGTCTATCCAAAACCTGGACCAGGAAGTTATCTTCAACAGACTCCAGGAGTCTCCTGGATTGCTTGCAGTGTGAGGTTGACACAAACATATTTTTTGTGTAGGAAAAGCTCTACAATTTAAAGCAGTTTGAATCATGAAGATAAGCTGCAAAGGGTTAACAGTGTACTAAGCACTTGATACACTTAACAAACACCATAACATCAAGGCAAGTTTCCAGAATCTGAAACCTATGTTACTAACCCCAGTATTAAAATAAATGCTTTTTCCAAGCACGGTTGATTTTAATACCATGCCAAAGGATAAGTAAATTGCCTGCATGTTGGGTATTTTCAATCAACAATTCTGACGCATAACAACCTGTGGCAAAAGGTAGAACAGAATCAAGAATACATAAATGGTGAAGAAAAAAACCTACCAATTTCTCATTTCTAATGAGGTCATTAAGTCCTGAATCCAGATTCTTCTCTTGAATTTGAGCATTCCTACTCTCCCAACATAGGATGGGAAGACAGAAAGTGTGAATCCTTGATATAAATCAGGAGAACCTTCATCTGTGCTCCAAAGACTGCTAATAGAAGAGGCAATGCTTACCCTATTGGGACCATCCATACAAAGAACTGCTCAAAATGCAGGGGAAAAAAAAAAAAAAGACACTCCGCTCCAGGATTTCCTCTCTAGCACAATATCCCTGTTACTCTTGGTGCAATAAGAAGTACGACTGAACTTATATAAAAGTTTATTGTCTAACCAGTTTATAATAAGCATTCAACTGTTTTCAAAGTACATACATAATACTAGCCAATTCCAACTTCCCAAGAGCTAAGAACTTTATGAAAAATACATGAATACTACTCTAATCCTCCCCCCTACCAATATTCGTTCATCAATGAAACCACAAAGCCTGTCAGTATACAACTATACAAAGGTAGTAAGACACTCAAAGTAAGATATACAGTAGCCTTGCACTGCAACCATCCCAATTTCAATCTTTTTACATCGGTAGCTTTTAAAGGATTTAGGCCTTGTGAATTATCAGCATTAGGTGTGTACTCTGCTTATCCTCCTGCATAAGGACAGGAAGTATCATCTTCATCAAGACAGAAATTAGTGCAAGAAAACAAACTCTTGACACAACAACATAGATCAATTCTCAGGACTGCAAGAACTCTGAAGAGGTACACTACATGATCAAAATATTGCCTAATATTTTGTAAATTATTCACTTGATCTTTCTGGTTAGATCAATGATTATCTATTATTCAATTAGGCAATTACTCAGACCTGTTGGGAAAAAAGTGCTAAATCTTCATATCAAAGTACAAATAGAAAAGGCTCCAAATAAAAAACTCTAATGTAGTAACAAACTAGGAAAAAAAGTCAATTTTGAAGAATTATTCTGGTTAAAGAACATAAACAAAGCACTATCCATTATCATTATGTAGTCTGTCTTAAAAAGAACATAAGCTTAGCACTTTTATGGCGACCTCATGCTTGGTGGTATTAAGTCTTCTTTTGGTATCTCAATGAATTTTGATCTTCTGCCGTCTTATAATTAAAAGTAAGGCATTAAAAGTACTTGAAAATAATGACAGTGTGTCCTTGCAGACTTATTCCTATAGAAATGTAGTCGTGATGTACCAGGACTCCATACCAGCACTGACATTCAACACCTAATAATCATCCAGTTTCCAACATGTCTGATGCTTGCTCACTATCAGTTCATAGCCATCATTAGGTCAATAAATTTAAAAGAATGTAGCCAAGGATAGAGTGATTTACTCAAATGGAACAGAAGGAAAGCAATACATGGATTTGCTGGGAGAACTGGCACTGTTTTTTCCACTTTAAAAAGGAGAAACAGCAGTAATTCAATCACTATGAGGGTTAGCTAAGAAATAAAAAGAAACAACCACAAAACCAAAAGAACTTCTTGAATCAGCAAGAATACTGGACATGAAAAATACTACTGTACTATACATTTCTGTTGGTTCAACAAAGAACACTATGACAAAATCCTGGGAGAAAGCATTTGGAGAGCCACGGACCCAAATAATGCTTATACATCAAACTACTGAAATGATTAACTAGCAGGTTATAAAACACTACTGAACAGCTATGAAAGACGAACTGTAAGAAATGCCCTTCCTCTGCAAATGAAAGGGGAGCCTGACTACTTGAGAAAAAAGGAACTGCAGTAAGCTTCGTGTTCTGGAAAGAATAAAAGATCATCAGGAAAACATCACAGCAGGCACTTTTAAGTGCCACAACAACACAATACGATGACAGCCATCTTCTGTAACAGGGAAAAGAATGGACAAACGAACACACCCCAGCTTTACTCATTTTAAAATTTTCTTCTCAGTCTAAGATAACTGTCAGTCATACAGTTAAATGTTCAGTCAAACAGCATTTGGAAAAGTCTTTTCTCAGCACGCCCCCACAGAATACTGTCTAGTAATTTAAGCAAAATACAAGGAAAAGTAGTAAAATATGAAGCTGCCATTTGAGATACCTCAAACAAATGGAGCGACCTCCCATAGGAAATCTGAACTGGCGTTACCATGTATAAACAAAGTTCATGCTCCAAGCAAGCTGGTTTTCTTCAAAGTACAAGCAAGTTATGCAGCCTTGGAAAACATAACAGTGCATTCATTAACTACACCCAAATCCAAAGTTTGCACTTTCACCATGTGTGACTTCTATGCAACTCAAAACACAATTTCACATTTAATACACATCTGCCTTCAGATTAACTACTGATGTTGCAAGTTACAAGCAAAACAGAGTTGAGTCTCCCACCTCAAAGTCTTGTTCTTGGGATTTTTTCAAGCAACCAGCTGCTACAAATCTACTGATGGGTTAGACAAGCACTTGAATACTTGTGAAATCAAATACTATTACGAGAGTCCCAGGTTTAGGATTAAATTAACATAAACATGTAATATGGAAAGAAGTTACCTTTCTATGCTTCATACCACGATAGTGTGACTGAAGACTTATAGAACTCATACATGGAACTTTACAAACCTAAAAAGATAAATTGAAAGTACATCTTCAGTTATGCTGTGGATATTTTGTAGCTGGCAAGGTGTAAGAATTGGAAATACAATTTTACATTAAGATGCTAGAAGTCTTTTACGACTTAAACAGAGCAGTTCGAATCATATCAGGAGCACGTCACCAAAGTGACCAGAAACAGTGTGCAAACCTGATCAAATAATACTTCAATATATATTTAAGTATACTGGGTGGCATGAATCTTTGAGAAGCCTACACTTTCCCTCCTACCCTCAATTACTGGATTCTTAGTTCTCCAAAATTCTCCAGCCAATAAGAAATGATCATACAGTAATTAGAAAGGAAAAACCAAAAAATATATTTCAGAATAACTGGAACTCCATTTATCATTTTACCAAAGGGATCAGAAAAACAGCATAGGAAGCTATCTGCGCTAGGATCCACAGAACATCATAACAATTACAGGACATAGCTTGACATAGCTTATTTCTTTCAATCATTAACAATACAGTGACCAATATACAATAGCATTACCTATCACCTTGACATGCTGTCATTTCCTTCAATATGCCAGAAAAAAAAGTTACTGAACAATATGCAATACACAGAAACACACTCTGATCCAGAGCAGCATCCTTTAAGACCAAAGGCACTTGCAGAGGTAAGAATAACTAACAGAAATCGGAAAGACAGCCTTTAAGGGCAACTATACTATACCTGTAACTACTCAACAAACCAAATTCACAAAACCAGACAAGCAGCTCGTCCAGGAATGGGCCAAATTATCCTCCAATATTAACAGCTTCTCCCACCAGCCACACTGCAGCTCGGTCAGTTCTGTCTGACTTCCGTGGTTTTTAATACCTTAAGCCTGTATTCTGGCATGTATTCCAAAAAGCCATTAAGAAAGGCACTCACTTCACAATAGTATATTTTTTTTTCAGATTCTGGTTTGGCATCTTCTGGCTTAGCATCTTCAGCAACGGAGCTCATCCTGCAGAACTGTTTCAAGGCACACAATTAAGGAAATAAATCCATAATAAAAAATAATAGTCCTGCTCACACACCACCCTTTCGCGAACAATTGCGGGGAAGGAGCAAAGCATCCATCGGGTGAGTAAAGACTAATTCCTTTCTAGAGCAAACCACGTCTTTCACCGCCAGGACACCGCCGCAGCCTCAAGCCGTCCGTTAGGGCACCTTCCCGCTTAGCTTCACACGAAACGCTTCGCACAGAAGACAGAAAAAAAAGAAAGCACACCGACCCCGGGCTGCCCATTTCTCTTCCTCCCCCTCTCACCCCCGCCCTCCCGCCGCACACACCCCCCGGCCCGCGCCCGTCCCCTCACGGCGCTGAAGAGGCGGCGGTACCTCCTAGTCGCTCCCACCCCCGGCGCTGGGCTCGCACGCCGCCGGCACGTCCCCAGGCGGCTCGGTAACGACAGCAACCGCCGCCAGCCTTCTCGCGGCGCGCCCAGCGGCACCGTCACTTCCGCTTCCTGCCGGCGGAGACAGCGCCCCAACCCCGCCGGCCGGCGCGCGCCCTTTCCGTTAGACGGACGCGGTCCGTGAGGCGCGAGGCCGCGCGGCTCAGCCAATCGGAGCGCGGCCCCCCTCAGGCGCGGGAGAGGCGGGAGGAACAGACGGCAGGGCGTGTCTTTAAATGCAAATATTTATTATTTCTTTTAAAATGTCTTAACTTTACATTTCGGACTGGTAATAAATGTAAAATATAATTTAAGAAATACACATGAAAGTTCCCTCTAAAAGCAGACTGAGAAAACAGTACAATTAAAAAAAAACCAAAAAACAAACAAACAAAAAAAACCAACCACAAAACAGAAAAGTGCACCTGTTATAACAAAATTCAAAATACAAAATCCACGCATTTAATTAGGCTGCTGCCGATACACCTGGGGTCTATTACACCTGTATAGGAAGCAGCATAGTTGCTACTGGTTAGATTACACGTTAGCAGAGGATCCCGGCTCCTGGCTTTGCTGATGCCCATCCCCGCCATTCCATGAGTGCATCAGCCTTACTCCTGCTCCATGCACCCACTGGTGTGTGCTCACACAGTGCTCAGCACGGGGCTTGGTCCTTCCAGAGCTGTGCCCATAATACTGGGCTCAAGTAATACCCATCTGATGGGGAGAAGCAGTCAGGCCAAGTGTTGCTCGGTCTCTGTGCTTTTTTTATTTAGTCTTATCCTCCACTGTTCGGACTTAGGAGGAACAAGAATGGCACTTTTAATTTTTTTTTTTTTTTTTTTTTTAATGGTTAACAGCAGATTTTGATACCATATTGTATTATTTCTATGTTTCTGTAACAGTTACAGGCCTTAGGATGGGGTCACGTTAAAGCCCTCAATAATTCTTTGCAGTTCTGATCCTAAAACCTAAAATGGACTAATAGAAAACACTGCTCTGTATACTCTAAACAACACTTCCATACTCATCTTTTAGAAAATTACATATTAAAAGTGCAACTGCACAGTGAAAGGATGAAGGCGTGTAGGAAAAGAATGAAGGATCCAAAAAGGAGAAGGTGGGCTCCTTCATTTATGTAAAGAGAGGGCAGGTCTGAATGCAAAAGTGTCTGGCAGTGTATACTTGAAGAATTAAACTCCTGGTGGCAGCTCAAGTGTTTCTTGGCAATACAGCTGCCTAAATAGGGTATGCTTCCCCAGCTAAAGGACTCTTTTCTGTTCTATGAGCTGTAATTACTCCAAGACTTGTCAGTACCTCTGTCTTGTTCAAAGGGGACAGGGAAGGAAATGGGGCATTGCACTTCTGCACAACGTTGTTCTTTTGGCAAAGCTTTAAAGTGTGCCTGAAGTAGATAATAAAGTTATGGAGGCATAGAACAGAAAGGGTGGAGGCTGCAAAGTACCATCCTATAAAATCACAAAGGTAGAAAACTGAGGGAGAAAAAGCAGAAGTTTTTCAATAGATACAGACACCTTTAAGGAAGAAAGGGTTCTTTGGTTTCATTAGGAATCTGTTAAGAGGTGAAGGAGCGTGAAGAAGAGCCCTTTCAGAAGAGGGAACGCTGCTAGTCATGTAGAGGAAGAATCTTCCAGAGTATCCAACCCTGCCCACAGCACGAAGGTTGGAACTAGATGATCATTAAGATCCCTTCCAACCCAAGCCTTTCTATGATTGTATGACTATGATGAGAGTAGAACAAAAAAACACACACAGTGTTGCTGCTTGCCTCTCATTGCCTCAGATTTTAAGTAAACACAGGAAGAAAATGATGCAAAAGTTAAAAAAGAAAAAAAAAAGAAGATGAAGAAAAAGAAGAAAGAATAAAAGTTCAGAAGTGACAGTAATGGGATAAGGAAGGGAGAGACCAAAGTGTGACCTAAAAAGAAGCAGAACAGTGGTGACACACCTGTGACACTCTCCTGTGCAAAATGGAGAGTTCTAAACTAGAACCTCATCTGATTTTTTAACATAGTCTTTTAATTAATTGACTGAAATTACTGAGATTAGCTATGCAACTGATGCTCTTTACATTGCCTTCTGCCACATGTTTGTGTTTTCCTCATACTTAGGCACTGGAAAACCATAATTCTATCAATACAAATGTGAAAAGAAAGTTTTGAATGTTGTACAGCTGTCACTGCAATCGTGTCACAACAAGGAAATTATGGGATTCCAATTCAGGCTGCACAACCAGAGCACCAAGTAACAGTTCAATGGCAATGACCAGCTAAAAGGGTGTTAATGCAGACACTGAATTTGTCATAGTTCCAAAGAGTAACTCCATTCAAGGAAGAGGAGCACTGCATGCCTCCTAGAATGATGCTTTCAGTCTGATGGAGAAACACAGCCTAGCACTGAATGACCTCAATCCTTGTTTTCAAGGAGCAGAGAATTGCTGGCAGTGAATTAATGCTGTAGTCACAAAACACCTTGACAGCAGTGTGTCACTCAAGGTGATAATTCTTCACCCTCAGATTTGTCTTAGTAATAATGTTTTACTCTTTCCCCTCAAACACCGTCATTGATGATCTTGTTCAGTGCTGTTAACTGAAATATGCACTCAAACTACACTTGAATTTCTATCTAAATTCAAACTAAATTTAAAGAAATTGGAATCTATCTCAATTTACATCCCAACACAACTTGTAATATGATAAAACTTGTAATTCAGTTAAATTTTAACAATGCATACTCCACAATTCCAGAAACACTGTTGGTCATATTTGACTTGCTTCAGATTTCAGAGTATCTGAGAGCATGTTGTTACAATCAAAGAAAAATCTAAAAACTAAGAATATCAATTTTGAGAAAATGTCACTCAAGCCAGTGTATAGAACACAGTTCTCTACAGGTACAAAAACAATGTGATAGGTGAGAGAAGGAGAAGAAAAGGACATGGTATGTTTAGAGGGGGAGGGAAGTAGTTATCATAGTATTACGGGGAAATGTGTGAATATGTGCCACTTGTATTCAAAGATATACTTGTCAGGTTGGTGGCATCTATGAACACAAGCTACTGGTAGCCTTCGTCTATGAGTTCGGCTAAATGAGAGCCTTGTGGGTAAACCCTGAGCATGGCCACCTGCAGAACGTCTAATGCACGTTACAGAAGTCTGCTTCAGTTACGACATGAGATTTCATAGAGGATTTTACAAGACTTAAGAGAGAGGAAGAAAATCTAGGGGAAGAAACTTATTCTCTAGTGAGTGAACAGAAGGAAAAGACAAGAAATAAAGTACAAAAGCTCTGTACATCTGTCACTGAGCTGGGGTCTCAGTTACATGACACTCCAATGAAAGAAAATGAGTAAGGGTTTATTTTGTGACTACCTGAGGCAATATATGTATTTAATGATAGAAGAAATTATATCTTTTTCTTGTTTCAATTAAAATATCTTTTTTTTTTTTAGATAAATTAATGGCTTTTATGAAATAAATTCCCTGTGTGGTGTTGTTCTACTTAAGTTCCAATATGGCTTCAACAGAAAGAGTTAAGCAGGGCTTCCAGGAAGCAGAAGCTGATTCTATCCCACAGACTATTCCTTGCCTCAGGCTGGATGCTTTCCACGTAAGTATTTTAAGTATTGGGAATTTCCAGGAGAATTGCACATGCCCTGTCAATGTTAATACTATATCAAGGATCATAACAAGAAGTCATTCTGAACTGGTGACATACAAATGTCAGACCTCCCTAAGCCATCCAGAGGACACTGAGACTCAGTTCTAAGGATTTCAAGAATATATCAGTGTCATCTAATTAAGGGCAATGAAAACATTAACACATTATAATCAAGTACTAGGAAGTCAGTCTGTCCTACAAAAAATTTAGGTATAGCTGTTTGCTCTTCTATTTCACTAGTTAAATCTCCAGACTGTGGACCAACTGAAACGAGGTCATCCCTTGCACACACATTGCTCTCTCTTTAGATTCTCAAAACAAAGTTCTGTTTTGGTATCCCAAGAGTCTGGATTAAATATAAATTATCGATAGTTGTTACCTACAGTGAAGGTCTGCCCCAGTTTCAGCCACTGGTCTTAACTGCATCCTGGCAAACCTTAGAATAGCCAAAAAAATCCACTCTATGGTACACGTTTACCCTTAGCTCAAATCAGGCTGGTTTTTAGGTAAAAACAAGGGGTTTAAGTGATACGCTTTAATTGGACCAGTATTTGTAAGATTCTGTGCAGCTGTCCACTAACAGCTAAATGAGGCCAAATTCACAGTGAAGGCAACAGCTTTAGCACTGATAATAATCACTGGTGTCTGTGGGCTAAGTAACATCTCAGAGGCAAATGCACTCTCAGACAACTACAAAAAACACACACAAAAAAAATTGCACACACACAAATCCAAGAAAACAAACCACCAAGCCTCTGAATACCAGAATTAAGAAGTTTGTTCTGCCTCTGAAGAATTTACAGCTGAGAAAGTTTGAATGCTATTGTCAGTCAGGTCTTAGAAAGCATTGCATCCACACTGGAAAAAGAAATGCATTTCTTTCAGCTTGAATACTCCATGTTTGTAGCACACAACCATTTCATTGGGCATTTCTTCTATGAGAGGAATTTTTTTCTTGTTACAATAAATACACTGAGAGGCTCCTAAAACAGATCTTAGGGCTGTGCTTGGAGGATATAAATACAAACTTACTGAGAATAAAAGCCAAACATCACTGACTGGAAGCATCTTAAACTCTTCTTTTCTAAACGGTAGTTTTTAAAGTAGTACCAATAATACTAAAACAGCGACCACTACAAAGAGAAAGTAACAATTTAAAGCAACTGCCCTGTCTTTTTCCTCTGCCATGGGATCATTAATGCCTGCATACAAAAAGGTTTTATAACATTAAATCACTGGTAATTTAACAGGGTACAATGCAATGTCAGATTTTAGTCCAGAGGGGATGAAGGACAGATACCTGGTCTTGAAAAACAGATATGAAGAGATTGGTTTTCAGCATTTATTTTCCCAAATAGTGCAATCTGCAAAGTTCTTAAACAAAAGTGACCTTTTTTTTCTTACTATCAACAGTGGCCAGCAGTTGTTGAAAAGTACGATAAGTTGCCCATCTCTTAATAAGTGCATTTCATAGGAGACTGCTGCATATGTGATAACTTTTCCCAAAACAGACTCCATTGATAACGTTTTTTTTTATGTGAGCCTGGCAGTAACAACTTGGCCACAAGCTAAGTGGCTAAAATCAAACCTGATATATGGCCTAAGTGTAAATTACCCTGTATTTTTAATGGATTTAGACTTTATGGAACAATAAGGAAGGAAATCTAATCATATTTGCATAGGGAGGAGTTAGGAGGTGACATCTCATTTGAAGTGACACCTTAACTCATCCTCTGAGAAGAAGGCCATTCTTGTATCAGATTAGATTTTCCTACATGCAGAATTTTAACCAATTCTTACAATATCTGTTAAGATGGCTAAAATATGACTGGATTTGTTGGGAGCCTGAGAAAAGTCTTCTCTGCTGAAATAGACGAAAAGAGCTTTAAATTAAGATAAGTCAACAAAATAGACTTCATTCTACATCAGTTTAGAGAACTTCTGTTGGGATAATATAATTCTGCCTCTGCAGTTATGCCATGAAATATTTGTCACAGACAAGGCACTTGGAGGCACAGTGCTCTGCAACATTGCCCCTGTTGTGACCATTTACATCTGTGCAAAATGGCATCAACATTTCCAGATGTGGATAGTAGTGTTTTATGGTCACATTGCACTAATACAAATGATAAGAGAAGATGTAAAGTAGTGCTGAACCAGGCAGGCCTGGGTAGTCTCATTTGGAGGAGTATCACGGTGAGTCCAAGAGTGGAGTTAAACAAATAGCTTTCTGGCAGTCATGCCAACATGTCCTCCACTTGCTCCACATTGCCCTATCTCTACAATACCCCATTTCTGCTCTTGTTTTTGTATATAGTGAATCAGTGGGACAGACTTTGTGCAGCTCTGCTGATTTCTCACAGTCTCACTCGAATACCAAGATCAATTTGACTGATTGGGCTTAGCTTTATGTGAGATGAACAATGATATACTAGACTGTGGAGTAAAATCCACCATTACAGTTTCATGTCTGAATTGGGTCTGATGTTGCATTGTACCCACTGGTGAAAGTGTTAAGGCAAAGATATGAAGACTATCTCAAGTAAGGGACAGTGTGTAGTTAGCAGGGAACTGATAGATCTCAGATGCCAAAAAAATGAGATGTTCTATTGCTTGAGTTAGGTCAGCTGGACTATGGCAGAATTAACTTGAGCTGCAGAAAGACATTATTGCCCTTCTTATCCATTCTTGTCTTTCTGTGGGGAACATGTCCTTATGCAGGACAATCATCAAAAGTTTTATTTCTGTGTAAAGTGCAGCAAACCATTGATCAAATCATTGTTCATAAGCTGAACTGACATGCAAAGAATGCACGTGTTTACTTCTGCCAACTCTAATGTGCAGGCAGTAACTTCTACCAGACTTGGAGAAGAGGCCTCCCAGGTGCCACTCCCTGTGCAAAACTATTCCCCTACCTGAAAACTGCACTTACGCCACTTACAGCATTAGGGAGAAATTTATGCCACTTCACTGGCATGTGTACAGCCATGCCCACAGTAGCTAGAAGGAATGAAGACATCAGAAATATTTATAACATTTTGAAAAAGAAAACATTCACTATAGGACTTCTTTAAAAAAAGCACATATACATCTAGTTGTGTTTTTTTTTAATGATATGGGTTTTCTATAGTTGAAGGTGATATAAAGTTGAAATAGTGCAATTTTAAAACAAAATTAGTGCAGGAGTCAAACTACAACAACCAAAACTGAAGTTGTAGATTGTTTTTTAAAGTGGAAATACGTGACTATCTGGCTTCAAAAGAAAGCATATGGATCTGTTTTCAAAAGCACAGAAGTGCACCAAAGTGCTTTTGAAAGTCATAAATCTAGTCGTCTCTCAGTGAGATTAAAATTTTCTTTAGAAGATGAAATGAAGATGCTTTTAAAAAAAATGTTTCTAATCTTATTTGGGATTTGATTTTTGCTGTCAGATGACAATGACCAACAAGCTGCTATCAGTCAAAGAGATACCATCACATTTAAAAGTGCATTTCTTTTGTTAATGTTACAAGAGCAGGGAAGATAACTGGTGAAATATTTTCTTCTCATGTACATTTAAAAGCCTTTTGTAACTCACTTAAAGAAGTGGATAACATCCTATTGTTCAGTTTTTCAAACAGCAACATAAAAGACAAATGGCTTTAAAATGGAAAATATGTATTAAAGCATTATTATTGTGTAGAAAACATGTGGAAAAAAAACTATTTGAAGTGCAATAATTTGTAATGCATTTTGTGAATGCTATTTGTTTTAAATTAATGCTGTCCATTTAAATCAAGAATACTCTGTGTGTTTGGGAAGCCCTTGCCTGTTGTCATTAATTCAATATTGAGAAAAAGGAATAGCTGATACTTATTAGAGTGGCTAAAAATAAAAATGAATAACACCAAAGGTAAACTCCTGGCCACACTGAACACCATAAACATTTTGTCTTTTCACAGAGGCATCACATCAGCTTGAGAAAAAAAAGCAAAGGCAAAAATCAGAAATAGCTACACCTTGTTACAGAACTGCAGACATGAGAGGAAAAATGATGAAGACACATTAGCAGGTACACCTGTGCAATAATTTTTCTGTATCTGAGGTTTCGTCTTTCATTCTTTCCAAAGATCACTAAGAGAATGGCTGTGTTTAAAGGCATGTGTGGGAGTGAGTGTGCATCTGTGTCTGTTTTGTTCCACACACAGAAGTACACGCACACACACACACTTAACATCTTTCCACTGTTTTTTAATTTTAGTAACTCATTTAACCCAACTGGAAGTGAAGCTACAATTTCTTCTTGTTTTCAACATTATAAATATTCCCAATGCTACAAAATCTATTGTAAGAATGTACATTCAGTGGCTTTATGAGGCACAGGACCTGCTGTTGTATTTTCAGGGAAGCTCATGTGTGCTGTGTTCTGTCCAATGTTGGACAACGGTGGGGAATCCAGGGGCTCGCGCTTGATTGCTTGAACCAAGCAAGGGTTTTTAAATTCACATGGCATTTTAAACAGCTCATTACTCTGCTCCTTCTCCCCCGGAGCAGGGCTGTAGAACTGGCCATAGCCCTCAGCGTGCGGCAGGTCAGGCAAGCTTTCAAAGCAGGCGGAGGAGTTCTGGGGGCAAAAAGGGGACACCTCTCTGTTACGCAAACCCTTGCAAGATCTGTTCAGATTGAGGTTGCTGGGATGATTTGCTACAATGCACTGCCAGTTATGTGGTGTGTAAAGGCAGTGCCTTGGCTTCTGGCAAGGTGAAGCTTGCTGACAGAGGTCCGGTTCTGCTTTAAGGTGCACCCTATTGGGATAGCTGAACAACTGCTTCCTCAGGGTGCTGTTCTCATCCAGCCAGGCTCGGTTTTGTGGCATTGGGTAGTTATCAGCAATGTTTTCAGAATCAGAATCATATTCTGTTTTGATAGGCATATCCAAGGGAAACGATGCATCATAGAGAGACTCCGAGGATATTAGCGATCTCTGCAGTTTCAGGTGGTCTGTAGTATAGTTCTCCACAGCACGTTGTTGTAAGCCTGAGTAAGACTGACAATTTTCTGCACTACCCCAGTGGGAAGGACAAGTTGATGCTAAATTTAAGAAACTTTGGTCTCTGTTGTAGAATGATCCAGCTCTTCTGTTTGAACATGCATTCATTCGCTGATTTATAGAACAAGAGCTTGAGTTTCTGAAAGTCCAGCTACTGTTTGTGGTGCAGTTGTTTTGAATGCCTAAAATTGGTGTATTAGAACTGAGAGATTCCTCCTGCACAAAACACTCACCATTTGTATGAGGCTCAAACTTCACTTTTACATTATCTTGCTCATTTTTTACTGCTGTCCAGTTGAGATGCTTCAGTTGGCCCAGAGTTTCAATGGCACTGTTGTAGGAAAGTCCTTCCAGGTTTCCCTTCAAACTGGCAAAACTGTTCGGTATCTTCAGTTGTTCATCTTCTTCCCTTTCAGTAACAGTAGGAAAAAAGAACACATTCAGTAAGAGGTTTGTAAATGGACCTTTTCTGTGGTACAAATGGAGTAATTTGATATATATTACAAGCAATGTTTTTTCCTTAGTTTAGTACCTCACACTCTTTTCCATATAAACTTTGTATTTGTCCAAGATAGAAAAAAAGCATTTCCATGCATGTGAGCATCACTTTGTGCAAGACTACCTTTCTGTGGCACTCTTACATTTAAGTTATGACATACATTTAGTTGAGGCACACAGTTCATAAAGACTTTAAATATCATAGTATTTTATGTACTGTATGGTAACCTTACACTGTCATTCTTCTGTTAAAACGTATCTAATCAACTTTCTTGTGCAAAAACAAACAAACAAAAAAAAGTCTAGAGAGAAATAGGGTGCAAACAGCATGTTAAATGATGTATTTTGTTAGTGAGGAGTTATTAAGATGCCTAAGAACTTTCTCATCAAAGCAATTTGAGTATGAAACATGGGGGTCTTATATTTTGAGAATGCATAATTAGAGAGAGGAAACAAAATACCCAAATTAAGTGTCGAGAATAGTCACAGATGTTCATATTGGACACAGGGTTATTTTACGTGTCCAGCTTAATTTGTTTTGTCTTTAATTTTCCAAGACGATCAGTGAATTAATTTTCCATGACCTAACACTGAAGAACTCAACATTTTTTAAGAGTCCAGACAAAGAAAATTGCCTGAGCATTTTTGTACTCAATGCAGCAAGTTTTTTTAACTCCAAACTCCAATTTTGCTGGAATTCACAAATGTGCTGTTTTGCAATCATGCAGAGTCTGTACTATGAACCTGCACCCTCCTTGTCAGAATGAGAAGTGGACATTGCAATAAGGAGGCAGGCATGAAAAACTGGAGAAATTTTCAGAAGACTTTTTTCTTGACTCACTCTCAGAAACATTTTCCTTGGGTATGGACTTAATGCGCAAGTATAGGAATTTCCAGTAGGGGGAGTTCATGCTATTATAAAGAGAGAACTTCCCACAGTAATAAACAGTTAAGAACAGAGAGCATTTTCTTTCTTCTTAAGTACTCTAGAATGCAAATTAGCTGCAGAATTACCTCTTGGGAAATGGTCTAATATGCAAATAGCAATAAAAGTAATAAAAGTTTAGATCACCAAATCAAGGATTTTACAGTGAAACAGTGAAATTTCTCAAAAGAAGGTATGTTTCAAGGAAGATAGCACGCATTTTAACAAAACGAAACAAAACCAAAAAAAAAAAAAAAACCCAAAAACAAAACAAAAAAAGTAGTGAGGGTAAAAAGGTGGAATCTACTGCACACTAGCAGGAGGACAGAACTGAGTATCATCTGTGAGGCCAACTCTAGTAAAGCTTCAGCTTGTAGGAACTATTAAACAAAAAGGTAGATTTAAATGGCTCAGAGTGTAAAAATGTAACTAAGAAAGCATCAAAGAGCATGTTCAATTGCACAGAAAATAATATAACATGGAGACTTGAGTACAAGGAACAGCCACTCTTAATCTGTTTTGTAGAAGTTCATTACTTTGCATGGCAAGATGATGTTTGTGCCAGTAAAAAGGTGAGAGGTCCTCTCCTATTCAAAAGATTCTGGAAGGTATGCTGCCTGCAAGGGGTATCTACTCTAGAAGTTCAAAGATTAATTTTCATTTATTTTTCCACCTGCAAGGCATCAGAAAAGAAAAGAGCAGAGATATTGGTCACATGTTTTCCTCAGGACCAGGTGGTGGCTATGTAAATCTCCTGGCCCCTGCTCTTCCTTCAGATAGGTGTGAACTGGGACAGTCCCATGGAGAAAGGAGGAATAGCCTATGCAGGAGGAAAGGGGAAAATGCAATGGAGAATTCCTCTCTGAACACACATCTGCTGGGTGTAGTTTCCACTCCACAGCTGAACCTACAGCCAGCTATGTATAAGATCTACAACATACAATAAATGCAAACATTCCTGATTCGATTGTGCTGAACATCCACAACTAAATACATAAGCTCAACTATCATCCACAAAGACAAAAAAAAAATAGCTTAACATTATCAAATATTAGGAAAAGCCAGGGCACTAAATCAACAAAGAGTTTCAGCTGTAATGTAAAACCAAACCCCAAAATACATTTTTGTGCAAGAAAGCCAAAACATATTAAAAACGAAACAGTCTGAAGTACTTTTTAAATGTGTATGTACACTCAACTTCAGAAAAAGACTGAAGAATGCAAACATATTTTTTAGGATTATAACAGCCTTTTCATAGGATCTGGGACATAAATGGATTTTTATTTGTTAAATAAACTAAGTCCTCCTTATACACATATTTTCTTAGGATGCGACACTCATTTAAAGATCTCAGACATTAGGAATTCTAAAATATGGGTTTCTTTAGTATTGGAAAATATACTTACTTTAGCATTTGCTGTTGGGCAACAACATATTCTGAACAACCACTTCGATACAGAAGTTGAGTGTTAGCTTGAACCCAGACCCAGTGATCTTCATTTGTTTGTACTTTGACTAGAGAAATGCCATTTTCTCCATTATTCTTCGCTATGCAATTTAAAAGAAAGTATATTTTAATCCAAGCAGTTTTTAATATTTTTTTCTTAGCTTTTAAAAATTATTTTTATTTTTTACTGGTGAATGCCAAGAAGTTTGCTGCCTTGGAATTGTCAGCAAAGTACTTGCTAAAATATGTCACAGAACTAGGAAAACTACATGAAGAATAAAATTTGAAAAATCTAAGGTGTTGATTAGAAACACTTCAGCTGTAATGAAAGGAATTTCAGTATTATTATTTCATTACCAGTTTCTCCGTCTCAATAGTATTCCTGTATCAGTGATAAAATATTAATGAAAAATGGGGCTATAACAGTGGTGTTAAAGAAGTTACAGGCTTTTGCAGTACAACCAAAGGCTGAGTACAATTCTACAGAAGAAGTTGCCCTTTGGAGAAGACTCACCATGAGAATTCTATCCATTGCAAAAATCTGAAATACAGCATAGATTCTCATAGTGTTGCCACACCCAAACACTGGGAAAGCATGAGTCGAAGTCACAAGCAAATCATGAGTTCACAAGACGATATTTTTTTTCATTTTCCTTCTATTTTCTGATCTTTTGGGGAAACTAGCATCAATAATATATTTTCGAGTTTTCTTCACATAGAAATAGATACGATTGTTGTAAAGAAAAGAAAAAAAAAAAAGGAGAAATGGGACTGAAATCTGGAAAGGTGAAAAGAAAAGGCAAGATTCTTTCTCCACAGGCTGTATATAAACTAAAAGTACTTAGCATACATACCTTTGAATTGGTTTTCAGTAATCTGTAATACATTAGCAAAAGTTGCACCTTCATGGTGACTATTTCTTCCATATAATTCTGCTGCTTCACACAGACCTGAATTACCTTTGGAACTGGAGCTGTAAGGGTCAGAAAATGGGGAAAATTCCTTGTCAGCGAATAACAACAAAGGCCAAATTGCAAACTCTGAAAGATGTGATTTTTAAGCTGTTGACCATTCTCTAAGATCGATGCTTTAAATATATAATAACCAACACTAAATAATCATCTATGTTTCATCTGATGGTTGCTCAAAGTAGAGTATGACTGGAATTCTGCATCCAATTAAAAGGAATAGTTATATTTAGGAGTATTCTGCTCATGGCTTACTACATCTGGAACAGTAAGTTCCAGCTTGAATTGAGACAAGCGCTGAGTTCATTCTGCTCTGCCTGTCGTTCAAGATACTTACTCACCAGCAATGCACTTAAAGATTACCATGACTTCAATCTGCAACAGTCATGTGATTTAAATGGATTTCTTCCAATCTTTAGTTTGAAATATGTATCAAAGTTTGTAAATTCTTTCCAAACTTTTTCCTTCATGAAGACCATCAGACTAGAAATAACTATATACATTTTCCGACCATCCTTGGACAGCATGCTTTAAACCTGAACCAAATGAAACACTGAAGTGTTGGTTCTTTTTAAATATAAATAAAATAATAATACAAATGAGATAGGAAATATATGAAGCACATCTTTTTTCTTTTTTTTTTTTTTCTGTCAAATCCTTAATCATTGCCCAGTTTTCTACTTTCATAGCTAGTAGAATGAAATGCTTCTTTGATAACTTCCAAAGATTAGAAAGAAGAATCCAGATAAATTATGCATATTTACTTTCTAAGAAAGAGTTAATATAGAGAGTTACTTAGCATCACTTATAAATTTAATTAACTGGAAGCTCACAGTACATTTTACTAGATGCTATACGATTAATTTGAAAATACTTTGTATTCACTGTTGCATCATCAGCTTTGTGTTTTGTTTTCACAAGTAGGCTTTTCATCTTCATCTCTGTCACAGAAGGGAGAAGTAGTGGTACCACTATGCAGAATAAGGACAGCTGAGGTGGTAATACTGCTCCTGATGAGGACTTCTTCCTCTGTCCAAAAAGAAACTTCAGTTTGCCTTGAAACTGCATTGTCTGTTATGTAAAAACACAACAGAATTACCTTAAGCATTTAATGTATAAACATTTTAAAAATGCTAATAAGAACTATGCCACCTACTGATTAAGTAACAACAAAACCAGTTTTGAAACAGGGAGAAAAAAAAACAATTTTCTATCTCTCACTATTCCTCATTTTCTTTGCACATCTATCTTTTTTAGAAGAAAAAACAAGATTGGTCTTTACTGAGCAAACAAGGAAGTGACTTCTAGAAATAAGGCACTCTTAGCAAGAATATTAAATATGCAAAAAACTTTTTAATTTTGGTGGTTTTTTTTTTTTTTTTTTTTTAATTATTAAAGCACCCTTTGCAAAAGTGAAAAAGGAATCGGTTTTATTCCTGTTCCTTTAAGTAACACTTCATGAATAAATGCTAATGGCTGAAACTTCGTTTTGCCACTCTTGTGCTAGGGCCAGTGTAAACAATGGACAGATATTGTCCGAGAGAACTTAAAACATAAACATTTATCAGTTCTTTTAACTTGAAATATTACAGCCTTTTCTTTCATTATTTTTTACACGTATAAATAAATGTCTTCAGTTGTTTCTTGTTAGAGTACAAGTGAAAAGCATATTCTGTCCATGGCTGCAAGCTATCTATATGTGTTCCAGTATTTTTCATATGAAGTAATTTAAATCTAGTGCAGCATGACTACCATTGTCTAAGTAAAATTACACTTACAAGGAAGCCAGAGGTACTGTCCAACAAGCAGCGAACTCGACAGATGAAACAACGAGTTAAGAAGGAAGAATAATCTGTTGTTGTGCTGTCATTCTCTTGTGCTTTAAACAATTTACTGAGAATATATTCTTCTCCTGTCAACAACAATATATATCAGATCACTCTAGGAAAGAATGAAGATGTTCTGTACCTACTTGAAAAGGAAATTGCTAAATGCTATTTTATAGAGGGTAAATATTTAACTGCATCATGTACAGGCGTATCCGGAGATGCTCTACCAAAAGAAAGAAGGGCTTAACAATGGGATTCAGGTGACTTTCTTCAAAAACTTTGCTTTACTTCCTGAATTCTTGTCGGTTTTAATGATGCAGAGTAGGGTAACAGATGTTACAGATTTTAATATCAGAGACTAGAGATTGTACATTAGAAAAAGCAACAAAATCAGGAAAAAAATGCTAATGCAAGAAAAACAAAAGCAGAAACAAAAATAAAACAAATGAACAGTGGCTGATTAGCTAACGTTCAGCTGTTGCCTTCTTGGTTTTTAATGAAGCATTTGCCATTTTTGGACTACAGGTGCATAGCTTTTGAAACATTTATTTCCCAAAAGACACACACAAGTATTTGTACAGAAGAATGAACTCAGGAATTAAAATTCTCCACTGTGTATACTCAGGACAAAAAATTTAAATGTTTATAACTTTTATAGTTTGAAATACTCGTGCACAATTGTTCCATTTGTTTTCTGCATACTGCATATAAAATTTTGCAAAGTACTTGTGATCTGTAAGTTTCCTGCAAAATACATTCTATCCAACTTTGGAATTCTGCGAAAGTACATGACTCTGTTCCTAAAGAAAGACTTCATAAAAGCTGCTGAAGGATTTCTTCCAATTTCCTCCTGCCCCGCTCATCTGAAAAACTATTTCCTTATCTTCTGGTGAAATGCATACATTTAACTGGGATCCATTCATAAAGTTAACAATTTCAACCCCATTTTCTGTAGTTGCAATTTCTGGTTTACACATCATGTGTGGGAATACAAGAAAAACTGTTCAAAGCAGAAGTTGTGGAGCAAGATAAACAGCATGAGAAACAAGGACACCTCTAGAAGAAGAGAAATCGTCTCACGGCTCTCACTGGATAAGCGCCTATGGGAACGGCTGAAGAGTGTGTTGTAAAATGCTCTGTTGACATGTAAAGGTGGATGGGAAAGTTGTAGGGGTGGATGGGAAAGCTAGAAAAAGAAAACTTGTGAAGGTATATAAGTGATGTGAGAACCTGTAATAAATGACTTGGATCATTCACATCTGAGTCCGTGCATCAGATGCTGCAATCATGCAGGAGAAACCATGAGCATACATGTCCACTTCTCATTCTAGGCAAATACAGCTTCAGAGGAAAAAATATGTTGCCAAAACTAACTATTCTTCTAAACATTGTGATTTATGTAACTTCACATGGGAAAACAAATGGCAGAAAGTCATGTAGCCACTGTGGTACTGCACAGAACAATTTTGCATGTTTTTTATCTTTCCTTGTCATTGAGAGAAATACTCACATCCTGATTAGTATGAAAAAAAGACTGGTAGAATGAAAACTGATGTTGTTTATTCTGTCTTGATAAGAATATTCATAAGCACGTTAGTCAGAGGAAAATAAAGGAAACATCAGTGTTCTAGCCTCAACAGTACACACTAGCATGAAAAATCCAAAATCAGGGAGAAACATCATTTTGGGGATATTAACACTATAAGTGGCCACTATGCAGCTTTGCAGTGAAGAATCTAACTTGACAAGGAACAGGAAATAGGTGGAGGGCAGTTCTAATTGTACAGTGATGTGTACATTTCCAATTTACACTATATAGTCCTACCTGTTTCTGTCTGTAGTTGCTGTCCAGACATCTGAGGTGGATTCATGGCCCAGTGCAGTTGTCTACAGAAATCCTGGCGATCGTCAACATGAATGTAATCATATATGTTTTGGTGCATTACATCAGTCTGAAAGAATTACAACAAGCAACATTTAATCTGCAGGTTTAATGGGGCAGACTCTTGTATTTATTAGAATCACAGAATATTTGGGGTTGGAAGGACCCCTGCTATGGGCAGTGACACCTTGTTCTAGACCAAGTTGCCTGAAGCCCCATCCAAACTAGACTCAAACACCATCAGGTATGGGGCATCTACAGCTTCTCTGGGCAGCCTCCTCATTTTCACAGTAAAGAATTTGGGTTGCTATCTTCCAAAAAATAATGACTGATGTAGGGAATTTTGAAAGCAAAGATTCACTGAGGAAAGTTACTTCAGAGGCCCCTGTTTTTCACATTTGCTTTTTGACTTAATATCCTCAGAAGATTATTTATAATAGCATATTGCAAATGTGAATCATAAAAGTCCAACTGGCAGCCAAATAGTAGTGTCCCACAGGGATTGATGCTGGGTGCAGCAATGTTTAATTTCTTGACAAATGGGTGATGGGATACAGCATAGCCTCAAAAGGCCTGCTAAGGGTACCAATCAGGTAGAGCTGGACAGACCTTGACAGGCTGTAAAAATGGGTTGGCAGGAACCTCAGGAAGTTCAACAAAGGCAAAATCCTCTCTAATTTTGGGTTCTTCAGGAAAAGAAACTGAGGCTTGATAAAAGTAAAAGAAATTGCAGTAAGGGTGGTAAAGGATAAAGTAGAAAAAAAAAATTGCAGTAAGGGTAGAACAGAGGGGCTGTAGGATCTCAAAACTTGTCTAGGTGAGTCCTGGAGCAACCAACTGGAGCAGATCGAGCAGCAGGTTGGAGCAGACAAACTCCAGAGGGCCTTTCCAACTGCATGATTATATTTACTCTGTGCAAGCAACCAGTCTAGAATAGCAGCACCTTATACAAAAGGATGAATTTGATTTTACTAGTAAATCCTGTTTCTGTCAACAAAAACTTTACAAAAGGAAATTGCATCCTATGACATTACAAAGAATTCCTCTTCAACTCTCCGATTTAAAAAAAGTCTAAAATAGCATAGTAAAATAGTAATGTAGTATATCTAATCAGCAGTAGAAGAATAGGACAAAAGAACAGTGTTCTATGTTTTAGAAAGCCAGTTGGCAGAAATGATTAAAGGAAAATCATTAGAAAGCCTGTAATATTAAGCATTCTATATATTTGCTAATATAGTTACCTGATGAAACCCTAGGTAGTCCACAATCGTTGATGATGCATAAAATATCATTCCGTCTGCACTCACCACCAATGCAAAACCATTCAGTGACTAAAGAAAGGAAAATAATGATCATCAGAAAATAAAGGGAAAAGTAGGTATAATTTAAATAACATTCTAGTTTAGTTTCCTTTTGATTTCAAATATGAACAAACATGAACATACAGTCTTTGTGACTGCAAAACTATAGAATATTACATTCTAAGTGCAGAAGAAAAATAATAACATAAATGTAGCATGGTTTTGCTGTTTTTTTTATGGTGTTTTTTTTTGTTGTTGTTTTGGTTTTTTTTTTGTTGGTTGGTTGGTTGGTCGGTTGGGTTGGGTTGGGTTGGTTTTGGGGTTGGTTTTTTTTGTTTTTGTTTTTGCAATTCTGAATAAAATTTCTGGGATTTAGATGGTGGAAATGTTTTCAGTTTCATAGATTCATATAGATCCACATATATTTTGCCTGAAACACACAGCCAGAATAGGCTGTCGAAAATCTACCCAATCCTAGCATCCTGACTCCAGTAGCAAAAGAGTGCAACTGCTTCCTAGAGCAGTCTTCCTGCCACCCACAATTCACGTGCATCAACTGTCTTCAATAACTTTTGAAATAACCTTTGAATATTCCTGTCACAGCCCTAACTATTTTAATAAATCTTGATGACTTTATTATATTATCTGTATAATACCTTATCTTTTTAAAAGTCTGATAATACGACAAAGTTCTAATCCAGTGTCTTGTACTAAAATTGTTACTGATTGTCTAATAAGATACTCACTGATCATACTGATATTCTTAATATAATGAATAGAAGGAACTACAAAAAAAAAAAGCTCTCTCTGAAATGAAATAATGAATAACAACCTGGCACATGCTTTTTGCAAAAGTTAGGGGGGCTAATTGCAATATAACTACAATATTACATTACAATATTATTGTCTATTTTGAATTTGAAATTGACATTAATTCACATGATTAAAAGTTTAATAACATCTATCAAATACTTCTTTTTGGTTTTGGTTTTGTTTTATTTAAAACATTCCATTCCATGATGCTTTGCATTTATATGCATTGAAATATACAGATAATGTAATAATTTCCAACAAGAAAATTAAACACATGTGTTCTTATAGCTATGGCTTTAAGATTCGATGTGTATTTTGAAGTATGGTTATTTTCTTAAGCTTTTGTAAAAACACAAACACAGAAAAACTGCAAAAAATGCAGTTAAAATCAGGCAACAAATATTTCACTGATAGAGAACAATATTTAGTCTAGAAAAATGCTAAATTAATGAATTCAGTGATGTAAGGAAAGCAGTAAGAAAATAATTGAAATTAAAAGTAAGAATTAAATGAAATACATGACATGAACATTAACAATCATCACGCTGCCCGCAGTCTGACTAATTTTGCCTCTCCTCCCTTGATGAAGATTCACTGACATATTTTCATTCCAGCAGATTCACATTCCAAGGCAGATGAGATGTTCCTATCCTGAGATAGTTTTCAGGTCTTTTGAGATTGCAGTTCAAACAACTGCCGATGAAGTACTGCTCTGTTTTTATTATCCTTACTTCACCTTTCTCAATTTACAGTTGCTGTGATGTGTGTCTTAATCCTGAGCTAATCCTGAAGCCTGAAGCACAATGGGAGCAAATTTTCAACTGCTCAGTTAGTAGATACACTAACATATTTTTTCTGAGTTTGGTTCTCTTTTGAGTTCCTAAATAAGGACCAGATTTCCAAGACTGCTTAAAGCCTGTTCCCACTGTGACAATGGTGGGCAGAATTTCAAGAGTTCAGCATACAATAGGCTGACCTCCTCAGAAGATTTGACCCAACCATAAATGTGGAGCACCTTTGGAAACTTGGCCCACTGGGGCCACATATGGCCAGGAGCTGTGGGCCTTGAAAAAGCTGTGAAATGGTGACTGGAAAAAGCTAGCAATCAGACAGCAATGGCTTACCTACATTTGGAAAAAGCAGTAACAGCATCCCTTTTGATCAAATGGATGTCAAGTATGAGTCAGCTGTAAGAACAGCCAAAGGCAAATCATGCTCATCTCCAGGACTGCTCCATCAATCTAGATCCCTTTCAGAATAAGCGATATCTTTGGCTAGTGGATTCACAAGTTATCCGTGTCTACTCTTCAACCACAAGCTCTTGCTGGGTTGGTGCTATTTTCTACTTAAAAAAAAATGTCCAAATTCATCCCAGGACATCACCAAACAGAAGAAGTATGCCAAGATTTCTACATATTCACATCTGTGCCTTTCAGTGTACTGAGTGAAGCCTCCAAAGACGGTATCTGTCATACCCATTTCCAATATCAAGTGGAGACAAGAAAGCATTTTTGGCACCTTGTCTCTTTGGACTCATCTTCACAGCAATGAAACCATCAGTGATGTGATGTTAGGAATTTTATTACATTTTGAACATCTGGCAGGCCTTTTAATTTGGGCAGACTAAAAATTTTCATAAAGATAACCATAGGACAATTAAGGGACCTCCTTTGTGCAGATGCCTGTAGCTGTTACGATGCATTTTCCAAAAGACCTCCAGTTTAGCCTGCATAGCTAGAAATTAAGAACACATAGAACATATGCACATGTACCCTAAGAGACTTGCTTTAAAATGCAAAACTTGTTTCCCTCTATTGGAATGTGGGCAGGTTATTCTTTTTACAAGTCTTTATTTCATTAAGCCAGAATTAGGTTGGACCAGGTTTGTAAATATGGGAACGGGAAATGGGATTATGTGTATTTATAAGGGTTCAGAACAATGAAGTGGGAACTGCATCTGGAGAGGTATTAAGGAAGGGTGGGAAGGAGTAAAAGGAAAGAAGTGGAAGAAAGGTTCAAGGAGCCATGTATCAAGGTTAAGTCAGAAACGAGTATGGATTTGAGGAGGGATGTAAATTAAGAAAGCTATAGATTTTCCCTTTGTTTTGCTTCTCAAAATGCTAATGTCTTTTTCTGAGTTAAGATCTCTCAACTATGCATCTCCTGGTTTCTGGTTTTCATGGCCCAAAAACACAGACATCAGATGCTCTGCCTTGCAGGCAGGAAAAGTATAACCCACTCTGGTGCAAAAACAACTTTTATGAAGCCACATGAAGCTATTGAGGATTAACGCAAATTCCATGTGCCTAAACCTCATTTTAGCTGGGAAACCTGCTGCTTCAACCACAATAAAAAAAAATAAGTTAAAAAAAAAGCTGGACATGGAGTAGAATTTCATATCCAGTGAGTTACCCGTGACTCCAAATGTTTTCTTAAAATTACCTTGAAGTGCTGTTCAGTGTGAAATCTGGCATCTATAGCACAGACAGACTGGAATAGAATAAGAATTGGGCTGAGATTTATACTTTTCTTACCTACTGGCTGTGGCTGTGGAAAAGGAGGAGGGCATTTGCAGGTCTACCCAGATGTGGGTCGTAATAATTGCAAATTAGTAGGAAAATACCTGTTCTGATCTCTCAAAGAAATCTCTTAGGTATATGATATAGAAGTTCATACTCAAGCTCTTTACAGGAACACCATGTGGAGATTTTGCATTATACTGGACAGAATGCTGCTGGTTATTTGAACTGACTGCAAGACATAGACAGCTTCAATGCATGATAATGAACAGAAACTATTCATAGCTTTCTGGGTGTAAGTTATCAGGTCTCATAATTAACAGGACAATGAAATGTACAGCTCTGTTCATGGTTTTAAACATTCTCGGCTTCTGAACTGAAGTTCTGGGCCTTGGCTTTTCCTCATTCCTGCTGCATGGGGGACTGCACTAAGGTGCTGTGTCAAAAACAGCGGATATCTACCTGAATTATCAGTAACCTGGGAGGAGGAAAAGGGATGGAAAGAGGACTTGGATCAGCCTCACACTGCAGCTCACTCCGCCTAACATGCAACGATCTGGCCAGGCAGCCAGAAATCTGCCTACTGAAGTGCTTCTTAATGCTCTGTGAAGACCATCTGCCTGCCCAAAACACAGACAGGACAGCACAGAGAAGTCAAGAGCAGCTCTCCCCACCTTGGCTTATTCCTTTGAGCATAAATAATGGAAAACCTAAAGTAGGGCTCATGGATTTTAGGGGAGAAAATAACCTAACTCCCTACTTCAATGTCAATGTCATTTTCATTGCGTGCAATTTGTGTGTTTTAATTAATAAGGTTCACTTGCATCCTTCAATAATTGGTAGCCATTTGCATATATTTGTGCGCACGAACATAAGCATGCACGCACACACAAAGATATTAGTGTGGACAGTGGAACTCCTGCAACAGAAACCAACTAACTTCTAATCTGCAAAAAGGCGTAGCTGTAAACTGCCATTTGGTAAACCATATGGATCCAATGACAGATGGAATTTCTAATCCAGAATAATAGATGAAACATGTGAGACAGACTTAAATATGCATTGTGAACATTTGTTTGTTTGTATTTGGCTTTTTAAAAACACTTACATGAGTTTTCTACATTGTGCTTAGAAATGAAATCACTCTTTTTTTCCAAGTGGGGAAAAAAAAAAAAAAAAGAGAGCTTGGCACCAGACAGAGGCCTGTGTTCTTTTGAAAACATGTACATCCAATTATGTACTCACGAAAAGCCGCACCTGCTACTGAAACAAAAAACAATGAATCTGTCAGTTCAAAGAAAGTACAACATTATTCTGCTGCCCTCGGTAGCTGTGAGATGAAAGTTATCAGTTCCTTCCATTAAGAAGTTTTAGGAACATTATTAGTAAAGAGGTTCTCTTTGGGAATGAAGGCAAATATTTTGAGGAAGATAGGACTTCCTTTGGCAACAGCCTTTATATATCCTGATGTTTTTTTCTGGTCCCATAGCAGAAAATCAGCCAGTAAATACTTCAAAGATATTTTGGTCAAGGTCGTGGCATAGTAAAAATAAGAAAAGAAAAAAAAAAAAGAAGAAGAAGTTCCAAGCCACATTTCTCTTATTACTCTTCCTTGAAATAAAGGAAAACTCACTAGCATTCGGTCTCCAGAGACCGTGTTGCTATGGTTACTAAAGTACAACAGTCAAGGCCTGCAGC